GAACCAGTCAGTTCTTCCATGTCTGTTTCTAACTGTTGCTTCTTGACCTGCATACAGGTTTCACAGGATGCAGGTAAGGTGGTCTGGTATTCCCATCTCTTTCAGAGTTTTCCACAGTTTTTTGCAATCCACACAGTCAAAGGCTTTAGCATAGTCAATGAAGCAGAAGTGGGTTTTTTTTTTTTAATTCCCCTGCTTTTTCTGTGATCCACCAGATGTCAGCAATTTGATCTCTGGTTCCTCTGCCTTTTCGAAATCCAGCTTGAACATCTGGAATTTTCGGTTCACGTATTGTTGAAGCCTAGTTTGAAGGATTTTGAGCATTACCTTTCTAGTATGTGAAATGAGCACAGTTGTGTTCACTAAGATTGTGATTTATACCAGTGGTTCTTAATTTTGGCAATATCGTCTCCCTGGGGCATTTGGCTATGTCTGGAGACCTTTGCTCGTCACCATGGCCCAGAGGGGAATGCTATTATCGCCTAGTGGGTGAAGACCAGAGATACTGCTAAACATCCTACAATGAGCAGGACAGTCTCCTCCCCTCATAAGGTATTATCTGGTCTAAAATGTCACCAGTGCCAAGGTTGAGAAACTGGTTTATATTTCTCCGGGACAAGGAAAGCTCTAAATTAATGCTCTTTGGATATACTTATATTATGTAATCATATAGTATAATACATTATATTGTATATAACTTTATATTACATACACATAATATATATTTATTTATAATTGCTTACATAATATGTGAGTATGGTATATTAATTAGTAAATATATATACATTATTAATATTCATTAACTGCATCAAAGATATACAGTTGACATCTTGTATTAATGAATGATGTTTTTATAAAGATAAGTGACTCATAAAATAACTTTTGACTCTTTGGAAAGCAGAAAGGAACAAATGAGATATTTATTATTGGCTTTGCTATTTAGAAATTATTCATTTGGAACATCCCTGCCATTCAGTGATTTGAAAAACATTTCTGGAGCATTGATAGTGACCGTTTCATCTACAGCAAAAATTCATTGGAAGCCATTTCATACCATATGACCTCATCTCTCTAGACTGGGTTAGAGGAGGGCTTATTGTTGTTATTTAGTAGCTAAATCATGTCCAACTCTTTGCCTCCCTATGGGCTGTAGGCTGCCAGACTCCTCTGTGTGTGAGATTTCCCAGGCAAGAATACAGGAGCGAGTTGCCATTTCCTTCTCTAGGGGATCTTCCCAACCCAGGGATCATACCCATATCTCCTGCATTGGCAGGTGGTAACTTTACCACTGAGCCACCAGAGAAGTCCCTGACTCAAATTTGGCCAGTAAGAAATTCTTTTTTGGTGCTTTAAGATATCCTGTAACCTTAGAACAAATTGTTCTTTTCTGCTTAAACTAGGTAAAGATAGCTTCTGTTACTTTCAAGCCACGATTGTGGCTTTACCCAAAAGAACTGCTCTGGGGATGAGTGTAAAATCATCTCTAGAGGAAGACTGCTCTTTTGAAAAACAATTTAATGGGTCATCTGGGTACATGAAAGTAAAATTTCACTCTAGAGTGAAGAAGCTCAGAGCAATTCTGAACAATCATAATACTCAATGATACAAAAGGATGACTACATTGTAGGCGAGGTTGTATCTTTGCAAGCACATGTTTTTATTTGTTTGCTTTTTGTTGTTGTTGCAGTTGGAGAAAGGAGGGGTCTTTATTCCTACTGGTACTTTTTTTTTTAAGAGTTGGAGACAAAAAGCCATGAGAGTCTGAGGAAGGCAAGATTGGATAAAGGAGGCTTTTATCCTGTCACGCTGAGTTGGCCCATGAAACCGAGTGAGTAGAGGATCCACAGTGAAGGAACATGAGCCAAGAACTCCAACGGAAGATTATGCCACTTAGACTTAGGATTTTCCCTGTATTGTGCTCAGGTGTTATTGAAAAAAAATTTAACACAGAAGCCTTGTCTTAACTGTGCTTTATGAAAATAAGGAAGAAGCTGTGTTCAAGCTTACGGATGAAGTATTGCAGGGAGTGTATATTGGCATAACCACTTAGGAAAGTTCTTTGATTGTGTCTTGTATTCCTCCAAGAGCAACTCTACCCTAAGACAAATTCTTGCACCTATGAGTCAGGAGACTGTGTAAGAATATTCATAACGATATATGTAAGAGTAGGAAGGAGCTGGGAAAGGAAAAAGTCTAAATATTAGAGACAGGAAAATGGATTGATAAATCATGGTTGTTGCTGTTTAATTGCTAAGTTGTGTCCAACTCTTTATGACCCCATGGACTGTAGCCCTCCAGGCTCCTCTGTCCGTGGGATTTCCCAGGCAACAATACTGGAGTGGGTCACCATTTCCTTCTCCAGGGCATCTTCTTAACCCAGGGATCAAACCCACATCTCCTGCATTGTAGGTGAATTCCTTTTTGCTGAGCCACCAGGGAAGCCCATGCTATATGGTATGAGAAACACAATTACACACAACAGGATTGGATTCTAGAGGCAAAATGTTGATTGAAAAGAAACAGCAGTATAATACCACATTGAAGTAATTTTATCATTGAAAGACAAGAGAAAATAAATAGTATGTTTGTTGTCTGGGACTATATATGGTAAGTGCATAAAGAAAAGTTGAAATGATTTTTTAAAAACTCAGGATAGTGGTTACCTTGAGAGGAAGCAGGCAGACAGTGGGGGTCTGGAAGGAGCTCATAGGAAGCATCAATAATACAGGCTGTTTCATAAGTTGGTTGTACATTCACAGGTCTTCACTTTACTATGTTTAATAACTTACATTAACATGTATTCTTTAATTCATATTAGACTTTTTACAAGTGAAGGAATAAAGTAACTGTCAAATTCCTTGACAGTACAGTTAAACTTCTACTGACTGAGAGTGCAAAGAATTGAATTGTGATTTTTTCTTTTTCTTTTTAGCTCTGCTTTGTGGGTATAGGCGAAGAGATTCCCACTTAAACAGCTATCTTGAACATCTTTGTGAACTACCACACAATTTCCTCAGTTCCTGGGACATGGATGATTTCTGCCCAGCATTCCACAGGATCTCTGAAGCAGTGAGGCAAGAAATGGTGTGCCCATATGGAGGCAGCAGAAGGACAATTACTGATTTTACACTGTTGCCAAAACAGAGCAGTGCTTTATATTTTAAAAGTTTCTGTACATAGTTTATGCCCTTTTGATATAGTTCTATACAGTTTCCAAAGGTTGCAACAACTCCCCCTTCTTAGAAAGTGAGGGGTGGGACATCCCCTTTTCCCTCTGCCTCCTTCCCACCCACCCTGCCTTGGCACCTGTTGTTCCCTATGTTAGGAAGACCCTTCCCTGCTTTGCTGTTCTGGCTGACTCGGTACATCTTTAAAAATTTTAAGTTTAAGGGTTAATGCCTTTTGGAAACTGTCTTCTCTCACTTTTTGATTTCTAATTCCAGAATTATCATATAGCTCTGAGATTTTTGCATAAGATGTGTCATCAACCCCATTTCCAGGAGGGTAGATCAGCTTGGGTGTTTGTGAGAATAGCCCAGTAGGTAGGAAGAAGCAGATTTCTGGGTCAAGCCGACTTGTTCAAATCCTGCCCCACCCCATCTTTCTGTGGGTTTAGATTAATCACAGGGCTTCCAGTTCTTCATTTTTATTATTGATTTTTATTGGAGTGTAGTTGCTTTACAATGTTGTTAGTTTCTACTGTACAGCAAAGCGAATCAGCGATATGTATACATATACCCACTCTTTTTCAGATTTCCTTCCCCTTTAGGTCACCACAGAACACTGAGTAGCATTCTCTGCTATGCAGTAGGTTCTTATTAAGTATCTGTTTTATGAGTGCCTGCACGCTAAATTGCTTCAGTTGTGTCCAATTCTCTGCGGCCTTGTGTACCTTAGCCCGCTAGGCGTGGGTTCTTCAATTTGATTGAGGGAGGCTCTGACTCCAAAAAGTTAAAAGTCGACCTACCATGCCACTGATTAGCCCCTCCCAGTGTCCCCGCCCCTTCTCTGGGAAACTCAGGGCTGGACAGACACCTCCCAGGCAACTCTCCCGTCTCATTACAGATGTTGTTCAGTCACTCATTCATGTCCGAGTCCTTGTGACCCCGTGGACTGCAGCATGCCAGGCTTCCCTGTCCTTCACCATCTCCCGGAGCTTGCTCAAACTTAATGTCCATTGAGTCAGTGATGCCATCCAACCATCTCATCCTCGGTCGTCCCCTTCTCCTCCTGCCCTCAGTCTTTCCCAGCATCAGGGTCTTTTTCTAATGAGTTGGCTCTTCACATCAAGTGGCCAAAGTACTGGAGTTTCAGCTTCAGCATCAGTCCTTCCAATGAATATTCAGGACTTATTTCCTTTAGGATTTACTGGTTTGAGCTCCTTGCTGTCCAAGGGGCTCTCAAGAGTCTTCTGCAACACCACAGTTCGTCTTCTTTATAGTCCAACTCTCACATCCCTACATGACTACTGGAAAAACCATAGCTTTGACTAGACGGACCTTTGTTGGCAAAGGTCCAACTCTGAGTCAAAAGTTGGCTCAGTACAGTACACTGGCTAAGTCGCTTCAGCCGTGCATTCTTTGCGACCCCATGGACTATAGCCCTCCAGGTTCCTCTGTCCATGGGATTCTCCAAGCAAGAACACTGGAGTGGGTAGCCATGCCCTCCTCCACCGGACCTTCCCGACTCAGGGATCGGACCCAAGTCTCCTGAATTGGCAGACGGATTCTTTACCGCTGAGCCACCAGCGGAGTCCACAGCCACCGTCAGCCGCTCGCTTGGCGGGGAAAGTCCTTCAACAGGAAGAAAGAGCCTGATTCACGGCGGGTGTTACGCCTTGGCGGCGCTCTAGCCTGGACCGGGGTAACTCAGCTCTCCCCGCATGGGGCTCCTGATTGGCTGAAGCCCGTCGCTCTCACGCGAGTCTTCCGGGGTGGAGGCGGGCCTAGAAGGAGAAAGACTTCCGGCACAAGCCGCAGTTGTTGCGTTTGTCTGGGCGGATGGCGGCTCCTGTGCTTCACACGCGGTTGCCCGGAGATGCGGCCGTTTCGGCCTCTGCGGTCAAGACGCTGGGCTCGTCGAGGACCGGGTAAGAATCCAAAATACTTCCTTCTGCGCGTCCGGGACCAAAGCACTGGACCGGGATTAGGGGAGCGGAGCTGAAGGATCTGGGCCAGAGCTCATGGAATGTGTGGGAGCTGAGGGAAGAGGGTCGCTTTAGGTCGTCAGGAGTGGGCCCGTGCCCCTTAGATGAGTAATAAAGGTGGGAGAGGGGCTGGGAAAAGGAACCTCCTCGGTTCCAGAGTCGCCTTTTCTCCCCACTGGGCTCCCTCATAGTTTTCCAGGCCTGGATACTACATTATACTCCTTTACTCTTGTTCCCTCTTGCTTCTTCGACTAGATTCAAAAAAAGATACTAGGGCTATTTGGATTATTAACCAAATGATGCCACTGATGGCAGATTGTGTCTTTAAGTTTTTGTTTGCTTGAAGGTTATTTTGACGCAGGTTTGCTTAACAGTGTTTTATATCTAGCTCAACTTTTAAAACCCGTAACTCCCATAAAACACTTTGGGGTTTAACTTTGAGAGTCTTTCAGTTCAGTTCAGTCGCACAGTTGTGTCCGACTCTTTGCGACCCCATGAACTGCAGCACGCCAGGCCTACCCTGTCCATCACCAGCTGCCGGAGTCTACCCAAACCCATGTCCATTGAGTCGGTGATGCCATCCAACCATCTCATCCTCTGCTGTCCCCTTCTCCTCCTGCCCTCAATCTTTCCCAGCGTCAGGGTCTTTTCAAATGAGTCAGCTCTTTGCATCAGGTGGCCAAAGTATTGGAGTTTCAGCTTTAACATCAGTCCTTCCAATGATCACCTAGGACTGATCTCCTTTAAGATGGACTGGTTGGATATCCTTGCAGTCCAAGGGACTCTCAAGAGTCTTCTCCAACACCACAGTTCAAAAACATCAATTCTTTGGCGCTCAGCTTTCTTTATAGTCCAACTCTGACATCCATACATGACTACTGAAAAAACCATAGCCTTGACTAGACGGACCTTTGTTGACAAAGTAATGTCTCTGCTTTTTAATATGTTGTCTAGGTTGGTCATAACTTTCCTTCCATGAGAGTCTTTAGCAGGATGTTATTTTTTTTCACTGACCTGTTTAAAAGAAACAAACTTTGTGAAACTCTTGGCATAATATCATAATTTTTTTTTTAAGTACCTACTTTGGATGTTAGAGTTGGGGACAGTATATCAAAAGAGACAATGTCTGTGCTCTCAACTGAGTTTAAAGTCTAAGGAGGGAAAGACAGTAAATCAACAATAATTTCAGATAGTGGTAACTACTGTGAAGAAATAAAACAGGGTGATGATAGGGGAGGGGATGAGGATGGGTACTTAAGATTTCTGATGTGGAAGGCCTCTGACATTTGAGCTTCAACATGAAAGAAGACAAGGGTCCAACCATGTATGCATTTGGAGAATTGAGTGTTTCTGACAGAGGGAATAATAAGTTATATGGGAATCTGATTGGTGAACTTGAATAGCAGGACTCTGGCTGCAGCATGTAATGGTTGGAAGTGAGGTCAGAGAGACAGGTAGGGGCTAGATTAATGTAGGACCTTGAAGACGATAGGAGTTTAGATTTTTTTATTCTAAGTGAAGTAGGAAACCTTTGGAGAATTTAAGCAGAAGAATAGCATGATCTGTCTTTTTTAAGTTTAAAAAAAAATACTGGGTTGCTATGAGCTTTCTCTAGTTGTAGCAAACAGGGGCTGCTTTCATTGTGGTGTGCAGGCTTCTCACTGCGGTAGGTTCTCTTGTTGCAGAGCACAGGCTCTGGGGTGCCCAGGCTTCAGTAGTTGTGGCGGCTCATTTAGTTGCCCCTCGACACATGGGATCTTCCCGGACCAGGATTCAAATCCGTGTCCCCTGCATTGGCAGGCAGATTCTTAACCACTGGACCACCAGGGAAGCCTGTCTTTTAGTTTTTGAAAGATTTTTAGATCACTGAATGAAGAATGCATTGATGGGGGATTCAAGTGGGAGGAGGGAGGCCAGTTAGGGGACTTGAGCAGTGGTCTCACTGAATAATGTTGGATATTACAAATTTTATTGTTCCTTGTCATGCACTTAATGGCTTGATACTTTGGATTCTGCAGGCTTTCAGACATGCTCGCATTAGAGAATGATTTCTTCAGTTCTCCCCCAAGAAAAACTGTTCGGTTTGGTGGAACTGTGACAGAAGTGTTACTGAAGTACAAAAAGGTAAGAGGGGATAGTGTGAGGTTTGGTGGGTTTTTCCCTCAGATTTACTGAAATGTAATTGATGTATTGAGGTTTGATTTTTGGTGGTCAGAATACAATTATAGCTATTGTACTAAAGACCAGTAGACAAATAAGATGGATTTTCGATATCAATATTGAAGTCAAATCAGTTTAACAATAGCATGGTGCTGTCAGCTCACAATTAGAGTAATAACCCCTTTTTGCGGTTTTATACCTTCAGATGCTTTATTCAGCTAGTGTCCTTTAAAATCTTTAGCAAGTGGTATGATTTTTAAAAACCCATTAGATCAGAGCATTTTATTTCTCAAGTAGTTATGTAAGCATTGCTTTGGGATAATAAACCAGCTCTATTAATGGGGATATTTTTGGGCTTTGTTTCTGTGCTAATTTAGAAGCAATTCTACTGTGTATCAGTGATGGTGGGAAAATGTACATTCTGTTTACTTTCATGTGTGACCTGCATTTATATCCATAGATATGCATGGATACTATCATGGTCAGATGTCAGTACACAGGTGTATACAGGTGTACCAAAACACGAATGGCCTGTTGTCATTTTCTTCTTTCCAAGTCCCCCTAGCTACACTAACATGATTTTAAAAAATTTTATAGCCAGGATTTTGTAATCCAGAACTGAAATGTCAGTGTTACAGTTTTCTTTTTGTGATAGTTTAAAGTCCTGCTGTTGGTCTTTAAAAGGGAAACCCAAGCAAGCAAAAATTCATTTTTTTCCCCTTCTTCTTAAGGGGGAAACAAATGACTTTGAGTTGTTGAAGAACCAGCTGTCAGATCCAGAGATAAAGGTAACTAATTTTGTGTTTGATTATTAGCAAAGTTGTTACCACTTTGTAGAGATGTTAATTCGCACTTTTTGTCCTATTCCATTCTTTAGAACTTACTTTGTGATCCTGCTTTAATGGTTCTCAACCAGGGGTACTTTCACCCCAAGGGAATTTAGTGATGAATTGGGGACGTTTTTGATAAAGGAACAGTGGTCCTGCCATGCAGTGAGTGGGTGATAGGGGTGCTGCTGAAAACCATACAACACACATAGCAGTCCTTCACAACAATGAATGATCTGGCCCCAAATCCCAGCAGTCCTGAGGTTGGGAAACCCTGCTTTAATTTCCCTTTTTAGAACCTGTCTTCTATGCTGCATGCAACTCTCATGTCTCTCCAGTGCTAAAACAACCAAATGAAACCAACAAACGACGGCTTGTATTTCAACCTACTACTGTGTTTCAGTGTTTTTGGAAATGGTTCGAGATATGTACCTGTCATGTAAATGGTACTCCCCCTTTCTTCCTTTACTGCCCAGTTGTGGGAAGAATGGTCTGTTACCGTGGGCAGTGGTGGTCAGATTGCCCAGGATAGAATCCCAGCTCCATTGTGTCCCCAGTGTGTGATCTTGGGCACGTTCTTTAACCTCTCTTCCTCTGTTGCCCTCCTTGTAAAACCAGAGAAGTAAGTTCTTTAAGCGTAGAGGTCTTTCAAGGATCCAGTGAGAGCAGTCTCTGACTCAGAGGACTTTGTAATTGTTCATGTTGATAGTCTGCACCTTCTCATTCATGTTTAAATCCACTGTGAAGTCCACTGCTGTGTTTACTGTGACAAAGGTTACCAGTGATTTCCGACATGCTGATTTCAGTGGACTTTCTTTCAGCCCCATAGTAATTCCTTGTAACAATTTGTACAGTTGACTGCCCATTTCTTAAAACCTTTCCTTCAGTTTCTTTGATCTTCCCGTCTTCTTATTGCTTATCTCTCATCACTCTCTTGACAGGTTCTTCATAAATTTGGCATTGATTGGATTTCCAGGCGTACCCCCTGTCCTCACTTTACAGATTCTTCCTGTGTGATTTCTTATGTCCTCGTTGCTTTGGGATGTATCTGTGTCCTCATAATATAGCTATTTGCACTTATAGATCAGATTGCTCTTGTGGGCTTCAGGCTTTGTTCTTTCTTTTTACATTTTAATATAATTTATTTTTTTATCAAAATATAATTGAATTACAACGTTGTGCAGATTTGTTTCTTAACCGCAAACCCACAGGTGTTACAGGTGCTGTGGATTTAGCATTTTTTCTCTTTCAAATCTACTTCTATGGGCTTTATGTGCTTAAATGATTGTCTGTCTCACATACACATCCCCTCCACCCCTTATATCCTTAACAGTGCATCTGAGTCATCTCTAAAGCACATTCTAAAAATGCCACTGCCCTGCTTCATGCCCACTGAGGAATAGAGGACCAGCCCCGTAGCATGGCCTGCAGCAGACTTGGAGTGTGCAGTCTCACTAGATACTCTTTCTTGAATTTGCCACTTTATGGCTTTGCATTTGCCTTTTCTTTTTGGTTGTGAGAGGTTCTCGGTATCCACTTTGCTTGCTGCCTGTCTGAGCATGGGCTCTGGTTACATCGCCTCCCTCTCTTACTGGCTTTGTGATTGAGGGCGAATGACTGCATTTCAGTGCCTAGCTGTCCCCAGCTATGAAACGTTGGTAGTTCTACCTATCTCATGGAATGTTAAAAGTCTTAGAATAGTGCCTTGCACCTAGTCTTATATTAGTGTTTATTATTATTATTACTGTAATTATAAAACTACTCTTTGAGACCCAACTGAAATGTCATCTTCACTAATGAACTTTCCCAGATTTTGTCTAAGCACATAATTGTGCCTTCATTCAGCCCATGCCCCACACTACCAGCAGATCTCTAATTAGGAATGTGGCTTACAAGGACTTCATTGATATGTCTGGTCCCTCTTTGCTCTCCAGACTTATCCGTTGGCTTGCTTGTTCACGGTATACTCCAGCCAGACTGAACTGCTCTTGGTTTTCTGAAGACATGCTTTCACCTTTGTAAAGTATAGAACCCGTGAGAGTATTCAGTCTGTTTAAAGACAGTGGAAGCATCACTTCCTTTTTAAAGCTTTCTCTGACCTGTGCCTTCTTCTCTGGGTGCACATTCTTTGTGTTCTACTGTATTTCATATCAGCACATCTCCAGGGAATTTTTACAGACCTAAAAATCACAGACTAAGAATTTACAGACTAAGAATCACATCGGTTATGTTTATGTTAGTTCAGAGGAGTGTTGATATAATTTGTCCTAATAAATCTTCTCTGACTGGTTTACTTGAAAACTGGAGCATTAAATGTTGTCCTTGTAATTTTGTTGCACTCATTTTAGTGGGAAAGTGACAGACTAGAGCTAACTTTGTATGTAACTTAGCTTGGGCTCTCTGCTCAGGTCTTGTTATCCTTAATGAATGTGGACACTATGAAGTTACTGTAGTGCAAATGAGTTGTGACTTTATTTTGATTCATTTAGACCCATTTGCAAGTTGGGTTAAGAAAAAGTTACGTTGATTGATGACTCTTGTTAATCACCTTAGACTGAATATTATTCACATGCTTGCAGGTCCTGTGAGTATAGAGAAAGTAAGAGGTACCTGTTGATCTCTGTGGCCTTAAAATATTTGGATATGTTACAATTCTTCACTTTTAAAAAGTCCCAGGTGTCAACATTTAACATTTGGGGTGTTCTCACTTTTCTAGGGCAAGCAAAAATGATTAGAATTAAATATTGCACTTGATTCCTTTCCCTGATACCAATTACTATATTACTTCTTCTTTGTTTTTAGAAAAAAGTAAAATTTATTGTAACATCTTTTTCTGTTTTGATACAAACTAAGAAATCTTCAACCCAATTTTGGCTTAAGTCCAAGTTTGTGACTTTTCCCCCCTAATTTAAATATTGCCGATAGATGACCAATGCCAGATAATATCATTTCTCTGTTATTTTAGAGTTCTTGTGATTTTGAAAATACTTTTCTTTTTTTAACTTAAGGATGACCAGATCATTAACTGGCTGCTTGAATTCCGTTCCTCCATCATGTACTTGACGAAAGACTTTGAGCAGCTTATTAATATTCTGTTGGTAAGTTCACCATATTTCAATGACTGTTACATGTAATTCAGTACTTTGAAAATAGTATCTGTTGAAAATAGTATATATTGAAAATAGGATATATTATATCAGTAAAATGTTTCTTTTGTCTTTCCCTCCCATTTCTAGAGATTGCAGTGGTTGAATAGAAGTCAGACAGTGGTGGAGGAGTATTTATCCTTCCTTGGTAATCTTGTATCAGCACAGACTGTCTTCCTTAGACCATGTCTCAGCATGATTGCTTCTCATTTTGTACCTCGTAAGTCATTGCTCTTTGCTTGCTTCAAGTTTTCTTTTTAAAAATATCTCTTAAAATGGCTACCTTCCCACTGTATTTTGGAGATTATACCACCATGGACGAGTCCAGGATACTTACTGGAGCAGCAGTAGTTCTGGTACTTGTCTGTTTCCTATAACAACCTCCATGGAAGTGTCTAGCTTTATTTGTTGCTGTGATTTTTATGGATTTAATTCGCTTTAGTGAGCTTATGGTGAAGTCTTGGAACTCAGGGATTTTTGGCTGCTTAAACCTCATGCCCACATTGTAAATTTTATTGTATTAAGTTTGGACAACAGAAAAATTGCTCTTTTTATGTAGCTGTTGCTTGTTTAGATCCATGTTAAAAGTATAACATATTTTCTTTTTTCCTCAAAAGCCCGAGTGGTCATTAAAGAAGGCGACGTTGATGTTTCGGATTCTGATGATGAGGATGAGAGTAAGTACAAAGAGGATTAAGCAAAGGCCACATCTTGTGTCTGAGCGAATGCATGCTGACCGCTCAAGTATCCTGGCTCCTTCAGGACTTAGTCTCACAGGTAGATGGTAACAAAGAGCAACCTTTGATGGGGTCTTTTTGTTATACTTAACAAAAAGTATATCAGTTATATTTAACTGATTACTATGCAATCAGTTGCCACTACTGGCATTATTTATAGTCTTCATTGGTAGTCATGGAGAAAAGTCTTGAGATTATTATTTTGCTGACATGTGATTATTTAACTGCCAGATGGTTCAGTTTTGGTCAGCAGGCTATTTTAGCCTTAAGCAGGTAATTTTTCAATTTTCAGTTTTCTATTAATGCTCATGCTCTCCCTTTTCACCTGTAGATCTTCCTGCAAATTTTGACACCTGTCACAGAGCCTTACAGATAATAGCAAGATATGTCCCATCGTGAGTATACTTCAGTTACTTATTTTTGTCTTGTGGTGTTTAAGTCTCAAGAAAATTATGATCAGTTCACAGAAAATTATAAAGTGTTCACAGCATCAAACCTGAAGTTGTATGCTGCATGTTTTTGTATCTCGTTGCTGTCATATCACAGTTTAGAAAAAATGGCATTTCAGTTCTCTATGCATTGTCTTCAAATATTTTTCAAAACCTGTATGCCAAGTCTACTCTGCTTTTTATAGTGGTTGGACGTTTGTTTTTAACTTCACAATATCCAAAAATTTTCAGTGAGAAACCCCTATGTGTTTTGTGTCTTGTCTTACGAATAAAAATTAGTTCTACATGGAGGTTTCTTTTGGAGGGGTGAACTTCAAATTCCCCCAGTAAGTTTAGCACATAAGCTAACTTTAAAAAGTCCAAGTTGATAATTTTTTCTCCTTTTAAAAATAACATGTGTAGTGGGAAGTGTTTAGATTTTATACTGAAGCTCTTTGTTAAAACTTTCGTAGAAAAAAAAAGGATTCTCCTTTAATATGCTGATGATAGCAAACTCAGCAGAAGTTTATTTTTCCCTAAGTTGTTACAGATTTTCTCTGAGGTGTTTTCACTTCCAGTTGCTTGAGGTAGGAGTCACCTTTGCCTCTTGTATCCATATTTGCTCTTAGAATGGAAATGTTATCTTCTGAGAAAGTCTCATTATCATGGATTTATTGAATTTTTTTTTTTTTTAATAGCACACCATGGTTTCTTATGCCAATACTGGTGGAAAAATTTCCATTTGTTCGAAAATCAGAGAGAACATTGGTAAGAAATCTTTTCATGGGGGAAATAATGGAAAAGTTGTTTTGTGTGGTTTAGTTTTAGGTGAATTTGGGTCTTTTTCTTCAAAGTTTTGTCTGCTGAATTTTAAACTCAAGACTAAGAATTTGACTCAGATTCCTTTCTTAGCAAGCCACTGAGGGTTCTGAGTGCCTTTTCTCTTATTCCTGTGTGCGTGTCAAAGGCAGAGTCCATTTCAGAAATATCTAGATAGAACTTAATGTTAACATAGATAGGAATTGCTGGAAGATAACAGTTCATTTATTACCAGTTGTAAACATGCCTTATTTGAAGGCAGAGCCTTCTGTTAATGGAGTCTTGGAAGTCTTTTGTGTAATATTTAGATCATCTGTGTAGCTTTCAATAACTAACAGTAGTTTCCTTCTAAATACAGAATATTTTTTCCTAAATAATGTATTACAGGTATTAAATAAAAAGTTAATAGCTTTTGCTGATATTTGTGAGAGTGTGCTTCAACTGGAGTGTTATAAATTCTGTACCTCTTATGAACATAGATGCAAAAATTCTCAACGAAATACTGGGAAACTGAGCCTAACAACACACAAAAAAGAATTATGCACTGAAATTTGTCCTAGGAATGCAAAGTTGATTTAATACTCCCAAAGCAATTAGTATAATAGGCTGTATCAATAGATAAATGGTAAATACTGTATGATCATCTTAGTAGATGAAAAACACCAAAGCCATTTTGTGACAAAAACAGACAAGAACACCCTCAGCCTGATAAAGGGCATCTGTGAAATAAATCTGTGAAAAATTCGAAACTGTTTTTATACTCAGTAGTGAAAGATTGAAGGCTTTCCCCCCACAATAAGGAACAAAACAGGGATGTCCACTTTTGCCACTTCTGATCAGTATTATTCTAGAGTTTCTAGCCAGGGCAGTTAGGCACGAAAAAGAAGAAGGCACCCAGATTGGAAAGGAAGAAGTAAAACTCTCTCTTTTTGCAGATGACATGATCTTATATACAGAAGAATCCTAAGGAATTCACAAGAACACTAGCGGTAATACATGAGTTCAGTATAGTCACAGGGTGCCAGATCAGTGTATAGTGACTGGTTGTGCAGGACAGTGGGGAAGAGAGTAAATAGTCTTTTCAACAGTTGATTCTGGGACAGGAGTATGTTCATATGCCAAGAATGAAATAGGACTTCTCTTCACATATACAAAATTGAACTCAAATTGGATAAAACTGTTAAAAAAATGTAGGTGAAAATATTTGTGATCTTAGAAAACAATTTCTAGATATACCATAAGCAACCACAGCAAGAACAGTTAAATTGAATTGCATCAAAATTAAAACCTGTTGTGCTTCATAGTCTTCAAGAAAATGAAAAGACAACTTAAATAATGGAAAAATATTTGCAAATCATATATTGGATAAAGGATTTATATCTAGAATATTTAAAGAACTCTTACTGACTCAATAATAAAAAGTCAAATAACTCAACTTAAAAATGGACAAAGAGTCTGAATGGGTATTTTTCCACAACAGATATACAAATGGCTAAGGAGCACATGAAAAACTAAACATGAGTCATTAGGAGGATACAAGTCAAAACCACAATGAGATTCTGCTGCTTACCTACTAGGATGGCTGTACTCAAAGCGATAGATAATAACAAGTGCTGGCAAAGATGTGGAGAAACCAGGACCCCCCATGCTCTGGTGGGGATGTAAATGGTAGATGGTGCAGCTGCTTTGGAAAACAGCCTTACAGTTCCTCATAAAAGGTAGAATTGCCATATGAACCAACATTTCCACTGCTCCCAAGGGAAATAAAAATATGTGTCCACCTAAAAACTTTGCATGAATGTTCAAAGCAGCTTTACTCGTAGTAGCCAAAATATGGAAGCCAAGTGTTTAGCAGCTTATGAATAAATGGAATGTGCTATGCCTGCAGATTGGAATATCAGACAGTAATAAACGTGAATGGTTTACTTGCTGCAACATGAATGAACTTTGAAAACATTATGCTAAAACACCACATGTTGTAATATTCTACTTATGTGAAATATCTGTGCTAGGCAAATTCATAGAGAAAGAAAGCAGACCAGTGGTTACTTAGGGCTGGGAGGAGGTACATTACTGGAAGATACAAGGTTTTTTTTTTTAGGGTGATGAAAATGTTCTGAAATTGATTATGGTGATGGTTGCACAACTCTGAATAGTTGAGAACTATTGAATTGTACACTTAAAGTGGGTGAATTGTGTATCAACAAACTTGTTTTAAAAATACTGTAGGAGTATATAAATCACAATTATGCTGATATTGTGTATATAAACAGTGTAGTTTCTGTGTTGCTTGGTAATCTTTTCTATCTTTTTATGTTTTAGGAATGTTATGTTCATAACTTACTGAGGATTAGTGTGTATTTTCCGACCTTGAGGCATGAAATTCTGGAGCTTGTTATTGAAAAGCTACTCAAGTTGGACGTAAGTGTTGGATAACCTGTTTTCTCTTCAATTTTCTTTTCCCAAATATTATGTTATAATATTTGTTATAATAATTGAAGCAATAGTAGCAACAATAGAAGAGAATCCACAGTTCCATTTTGATTCATTGAACATTTCTTAAACATTTCCTTTGAACATTGGTGTGTTATTGTTTGTAGACAGTCCTATCTCTCGTGGTCGGGGAACAAGCCATTAATTAGATAAGTCATGTAAGTGGAAAAGTATTGTGGTAAATGCTGTGACTGGAACACATGCATTATGAGCTAGAAAACCTGTTGTAGTCAGAAGTTGGGAAGACATTCCTAGGAAGTGACCTACAGTAAGTTGCAGAGGGAATGAGAAAGTGGTGGATTCTGGTGACACATGGCTTAAAGGGCCTTGACCGGATTGGAAGTAGAGGAACGAGGGGTAAGGGAGAGGAATCCCTCAAAGGTACTCCGTGTGGAACGAAAGCCTGGTGTTCCCTAACAGTATTAGAAAACGTCAGGAGGAAGTCGCAGGATGATGAGTTCCTCTTTGGATGTGTTGAGGTGCGGCTGAGGGAGCTGGGTGGAGAGCAGTCACCAGGCAATTGAAGCTGCAGGTTGAGGACTGAGAGCAAACCCAATTAAAGAGAGAAAGTGAGATTGGAAGTGGGAGGAAAAGCAAGAGTCTGGACACCCAGGGAGGATCATCTGGAGGAAGGCAGGCTTCTCTCAGCAGCATGAGACGTTGCTGGCCTTCTTCAGGAGGTTGGGAAAAGCAGAGTCCTTGGGTTTGGTGTTTCGGAGGCAGTCTGTTGCTGCAGAGAGCATGGCTGGTTAGGAAGTGGGGCTCCTGGAGACCTGGTGAGGGTTTGTGGTGTAGAGGATGAAGCAGGGGTGAGAGGCATGTTTCAGGGTTGAGGAGAGGAGGTTTGTGTTCTAAGGAGATAGGGGTTGATGGGAAGCATGCTGATCCTGTAGTGGGGACGGAGTTCTAGGAAAGACCAGAGGTTGGGTGGGCTGGTGCATTTTTCACTTGGAGTCAAACCTCTCTGGTCACCTGCATCCATAATCTTTATAAAGTCCTTCTCTGATGTATGCTTATGGAACATTTTAGGGTACATTTAGGAAGAAGGTCATGTATATTAATATGTTAAAAAGGCATATTTGAGTGGTATGTTAAATAAGCTGCCTGGAGGGTTATATGCTAAAATAAATTTCCAGTAATTCAAAATTGACTTTCATTTAATATTTTCTTGGTTGATTGATCATGTGCTCTTACACACCATGCATATGCCTGTGCCTAGTAAGTGTGGGGTAAATGTTACATTTTGAAGCTATCTGATACAGACCAACATAGCACAGTTCGTATTGATTTTTATGAAAATATGTACTACAGGGTGCTTGATTTACAATCTTGTCAATTCTCTCATGACCGAGTTTCATTTATAGGTTTGTGCCATAATTGTGTATTGAGTTATAGTGCTGTATAGGGCACTAGTGTGGCTATCTTTAGAACATGTACATTAGGTGAATTTCCAGTCGCTGAATACTGTGGTTGTATTTTATATGTTTTTATTCTTTTTTTCTTTGTTATGATGAAGGTGAATGCATCCCGGCAGGATATTGAGGATGCTGAGGAAACAGCAGCTCAAACTGGTGGTGGAGCTGATGCCACAGAAGCCCTGTTTAATATGGTCAGCATTTATGAATGTAATCAGACATATACAGCTCACAGTCCCAGAGGGTGGCAAGAGACAGCTAATGGCTCCTCACCTTTTTCAAGGCTTTCGGTTAAAGCAGTAGTTCGGCAAGCTTGAAAATGATTCCTTAAATGGGTAGTTTGCTGCCTTGTTGCTTATCGACTAGTAGAGTTCATTTCCAAGGCTTTGAATGTGGGTTTGGTGAAATCTGTTTCCCTTTTATTCTTCCGTCTGTTCCTTAAGTTTGTTTCTGTACACCACGTATTGTTTGTGGAGGAGTGATACATAGAAAAGCACATCAGTGGGATTTCTGTGTTCTACAAATTGTGTGCCTTCACGCAGTGCTTCTCTGCTTGGAGTCTTGTCTTAAGTTGGGTTCACTGGGAGGAGCCTGAGATGGAGATTCAGGTGCCCTTGGGACACAGGGTGTGGGGAGGCAGGAAAGGGCGGGGGAAGGAAGGAAGGGAGAGTTGGGTTTCGATTGGAAAGTCACTGCAGCCTGATCCCCACCCCAGGAGCTCTGGGGCATGAATTACAGGACAGAGTCAGTCCTCCCTTGAGACCAGGGGGATGGTCTCTCGTGACCTCGTGTTATTTACTAGGTCTGATTGGGAGGGTTGGGAGGGGCCAAGGCAGTTCTCTGGAGAAGGGGGCAGCTGTGAGTTGGCAGCCAGTGCTCATAGCAGCTGAGGGTGTGGGTGCCCTGTCCCAGGAGAGGAAACCTGGCACCAATAGTTTGTGCCAGAAACTGGGGGAAATCTGTGATGTTTGCGTGGCTCTTCTAAATGAGAATCAGAAACTGGATCTGTGCTTTTCATGTTGAATTCCAAGGGTGGTTCTGATTCATGCCTCTGGTTGAGAGCCCCTGCCTGGAAAGATTTCTGGGTTTTCTCTTTATCTTTTAAAGGAAACAGTTACCCCAGAGTTTTCTACCTAAACTACTTTTACTGAGTTTTTATAACGTCAGTTTTTACTTTACCTTCAAAGGATGAAGATGAAGAAGCTGACCACGAAACCAAGGCTGATCCGGGAAGGCTCGATCAGATGGTCCATCCCATGGCTGAACGCCTGGACATCCTGCTGTCTTTACTCTTGTCCTACATTAAGGATGTCTGCTGTGTGGACGGTAACAACCTGTAGTAGTCAGCTGTGATGCAGTGTGCTGGGTATTTTTCATCCTGATGGAAAATCACTATAAAAATCCTTGTTTTGAGTATGAGGAAAAGAAAGTTTAGAGATTGTTTGCCAACATGATGTAGCTTGAGAATAGTGGGCCTGGGACCCAGACTCAGTTGTGTTTGTCTTTAGAGCCCTTGGTGATCTTTTCACTGCCTACTGTATTGAAAGATTATATATGGAGTTTGGACAGTTTAAGGTGGACCTCAAGTTGGAGACATTTAGGAATGGTATAGTGGATATTTTGGAGAAGGAAATGCAACCCACCCCAGTACTGGACAGAGGAGCCTGGTGGGCTACAGTCCATGAGATCGCAAAGAGTTGGACATGACCAAGCATATGCACACATAGTAGATATCTGGGGCTTTTCAGGTGGCATTTATGGTAAAGAATGTGTCTGCCAGCGTAGGAAATGTTAAGAGAGCGTGAGTTTGATCCCTGGGTCGGGAAGATCCCGTGGAGGAAGGCATGGCAACCCACTCCAGTATTCTTGCATAGAGAATCCCATGGACAGAGGAACCTGGCAGGCTACAGTCCATGCAATTGCAAAGGGTCGGACACGACTGAAGCGACTTAGCATGCATGCACACACTTGGTGTTATGTTTGAAATTTAGAGTCTGGGTACTTTTGGTTGTTCCAGGTGTTGGTGGACAAATTGATATGTTTCTTGCCCTAGGAATTTTTTAGGTTTTTAGTGTAGACACTTTGCCTTGAAAAAAGCAGGTTTTTTCTATTTACATTTCTAAGGTTTAAGAATGAAACTCAACCACTCAGAATAGTAGGGCTTGAATCTGAGTTGAGTATGTTACTACTTTAACTTTTTTGCTGCTATAAAAGTAATACATGTTGGTTAGAGAAGATTTGGAAAATACAGGAAAGGATTTTTTAAAAAAGACAGTTTATGTGGTCACACTCCTATTTGGAGAACCATTAGCATTTTTTGTTGTTGTTCTATTTGCATGGGTGTATGTGTTTTTCTCAATGGATTTGGGGAATCACACTATATATAGTATTTTATAATCTTCCCTTTTTACCTCTTATGAACATTTTCTCATATAATTCATGGTTCTTCTAAAAATAGTTACTAATCATATGGATTTAACTGGTTCCTTATTTTTTTCCTCCCCCTGCTTTATTTGCCATTGTGAGTAACAGGGTAATGAATACACTTATACCTATATTGTCACTTGTTTGCTTGTGATAAATTCCTAGCAGTAGAACTTGTAAATGGCAGTTTTCCAATGTGTAGAATCACAGTGGTGTGTGTGAGATGAGGGCCCACTTCCTTACCAGTCCTGGATTTTTATAATTAAAATGGAAACTCTGTACCAGATAAAGATGGCATCCTATGCCCCAACCCCTCAACCCCCCATTATGTTCATGGATGAAGTATTTCTTAATGGTCTTGTTTGCTTTTTAAAAATGTGGTAAATGAAACTGGTGGCTTGAAAATAATGTCTTTATAAAACTGAAATGCCAAATTTTCTTCACAGGTAAGATTGATAACAACAAAACAAAAGATTTGTATCGAGATCTCATAACCATCTTTGACAAGCTCCTGTTGCCCACCCATGCCTCTTGCCATGTGCAATTTTTCATGTTTTACCTCTGTAGCTTTAAATTGGTGAGTATGTCATTTGCGTTATCGTAGCTTTTGTTATTCTTGTCCCAAATTTTCCTTAAAAAAATGAGGGGTGAAAAAAAAAATGAGGGGTGGAGGGAAATGTTGAAGAGGGACCGTGAATTGAATATTTCTTTGTCGTGAGCTCATCTTACTTAGCGCCTCTAGTGACATAGAAAGCCCTTCTCAACCTGTGGAAGGAGGAGAGGGCGTTGCTGCCTCTCAGCTGAAGCTGTGCTCTGAAAACGTCATCTGCGTTTGGTCCACTCGGTGGTGTCCTTCCCTTTCAAGCCTTCACTAAAATCTCATGGACACATTTGTAAAGCAATTATGTTCCAATCTTAAAAAACCTCATATATAGTATGTAACTTAATTTTTTAAAATTCTGTTTCAGTTGATATTAACTAGCCCAAACTAAAGTTTTAATCCAGAATTTTAAAACTTTAGAGTTTGTTTTTCTATTTTGAGAACAAAGCAAAACAAAAGAACACAGGACTCTTCTTTGCGCTATTTCATAGCTTCCTAGTCCTAGTCTAGGAGAGTACTGGTCATGGGTGGGAAGATTAAACTCAATCTGCCCCAAAGCATATGTTAGTAGCTTTTGAAAAGAGCTTTTGAGAGAAGTTGGAGGTTGTATTCTTTGTTGAAAAGAAGTGAATTGGTCAGTTTTTTCCCTGCAGTTAGCATAATTAGTCAAATATCAACTGTACTTTAATCCTCATTTCTGTTTCTGGTGAAGTTTGTTGTGTGCAGTTTGGAGGGTATGGCAAAAGGGATTCCCATGTGAGTGTGGATAATCACTGCTTTCTAGTTATGGCTACATATCAGAATCATAGGGCTTTATTGATTTATTTATTTGGCTGCACCCTGGCAGTGAGAGCACTGAGTCCTAACCCCTGGACTGCCAGAGAATTCTCACTTGACAGAGCTTTTAAAAATTGCTGGATCCCACAGTCCTGTCATGAATGTGTGGGATTCCAAAGCCCTAAGTCTGTGGGGTTGATTCTGATGCTCAGCTGGTTTTGGCATCCGTTGAATTATTTAAAGCTGGGGAATTCCTTTTGTTTTTGATAGTATTATCTCAGAGTGTTTTCAAAATAAGAACCATGATAACCCTATTCATTATTTAGCAGTATAACTGAGATACTGGAGCTTTCCCATGTTGGTGAGTTAAAAATCTTAGAATTCTGCTAGCTAAAATATCTGAAGCATTAGAAAAAGAGGAGACCAACACCTTCTCTTTTTATAGGGATTCGCGGAAGCATTTTTGGAACATCTCTGGAAAAAATTGCAGGATCCAAATAATCCTGCTATCATCAGGCAAGCTGCTGCAAATTATATTGGGAGCTTTTTGGCAAGAGCTAAATTTATTCCTCTTATGTAAGTAACCTGATTTGCCAAGTGCTTTTCTTATCATGCTTTAAAAAGAATATAGTATTGTCACAAGTCAGAGAAATAACTGCCTTATTTTTGTGGCCTGTTTTTAAAGTGAAAAATTTGTTTCTCCATTCTATACAAGATGTTTATATTTCCAAGAGGCAATTTCAGAATAAAATGTCTCATTTTTAAACTGTAAAACCTCACATGCAAAGCTTTTGTCATCTGTATCATTGCACTTGAACATGAAGATCCGTTTGTCTTCATGAATGGTGTACAGTGTTGTATACTGTTTTGATTCTTTTTATAGGTTTGTCATTTTTCATTTGCATTCTGAATCAATTGTATCTGTTAAGGCTGAAGAAAAAAATCCCCTTTGAAGGTAATGGATCTATTTAGGAGGCCAGTGTTGGGCCTATTTCTTCTAGTGATCCATGAAGATATCCTTGGGCCAGAACACTATTAAAAACCCTTCCCTTAAAAAAAAAACAAACTAAAAAACCCTTCCCTGACAACTTAAAGCTGTCTGGGCATTCTGTCCTAAGTTGTTGACCACAGGACTTCATCAGAACCCCCAGGGGATAGTGAAGTCAGCTAGGCAGTTTTTCTCTTCTGAGATGTGGGTAGACATGCCTCCTCTTTGACCATTTTCCCTCAGGAGGACTGGAAGGCCATCGGAAAAGCCCTTCCGAGTTGACCAGGAGAAACTGTTCTACAACTCTTGACACTTCAGGCCGCCTTAGGGGCCTTCCTGTTGTTCATGGAAGGTCCACATTCTTGACTTTGTAACGGAAGGCTGCCTTTCCACCTGCCCATCCTTTCCTTTGCTTGCTTCTCCTCTGTGCCCATGGATAATAGATAAAGAAGCCAATGGACAGACTTCTCTTGGTTTGCAATGAGAGGCAGTTGTGTGTTTTTATGTTACTCTAGTGTGTTATGAAGCAAGTGAAGTTGACGTGAATTTCTCTTTTCTCTAGTACTGTAAAATCATGCCTAGATCTTTTGGTTAACTGGCTGCACGTATACCTTAATAACCAGGATTCAGGAACAAAGGCATTTTGTGACGTCGCTCTCCATGGACCATTTTATTCAGCCTGCCAAGCTGTGTTCTACACTTTTGTTTTTAGACATAAGCAGCTTTTAAGTGGAAACCTGAAGGAAGGTCAGTGATGTGGGGTTGATGGATATGAAACTGGATTTTCCTATGTACTAGTTACCCTTCAGAATGAAGATTTATTACTTTTTTGACAAAAATTGTTTGTTAGAAAACTCCATGTGCACTCAAGCTTTTACAAATAATTTCTAGCAGCTTGTGGGCCCCTAAAAGTCCCATAAGCCTTCTTTTTTTTTTTTTTATTTTATGTTTATTTTATTTTATATTTTTGTTACTGTGGTAGAAGTTAGATAAGGCAAAAGAATACATTCCAAGAGTTGTTAAATTTAGAATTTAAATTAAAATTTTTAACATGAATTTTTTATTTATTTATTTATTTATTTATTTATTTATTTAATCACAACCATAGTGTATCTTTTTTTTTTTTTTTTACATGTGTTCCCCATCCCGGTCCCCCCTCCCACCTCCCTCTCCACCCAATCCCTCTGGGTCTTCCCAGTGCACCAGGCCCGAGCACTTGTCTCATGCACCCAACCTGGGCTGGTGAACTGTTTCACCCTAGATAATATACGTGTTTCAATGCTGTTCTCTTGAAACATCCCACCCTCGCCTTCTCCCAGAGTCCACAAGTCTGTTCTATACATAGGAGTCTCTTTTTCTGTTTTGCACATAGGGTTATCGTTACCATCTTTCTAAATTCCATATATATGTGTTAGTATACTGTAATGGTCTTTATCTTTCTGGCTTACTTCGCTCTGTATAATGGGCTCCAGTTTCATCCATCTCATTAGAACTGATTCAAATGAATTCTTTTTAATGGCTGAGTAATATTCCATGGTGTATATGTACCACAGCTTCCTCATCCATTCATCTGCTGATGGGCATCTAGGTTGCTTCCATGTCCTGGCTATTATAAACAGTGCTGCGATGAACATTGGGGTACACGTGTCTCTTTCAGATCTGGTTTCCTCGGTGTGTGTGCCCAGAAGTGGGATTGCTGGGTCATATGGCAGTTCTATTTCCAGCTTTTTAAGAAATCTCCACACTGTTTTCCATAGTGGCTGTACTAATTTGCATTCCCACCAACAGTGTAAGAGGGTTCCCTTTTCTCCACACCCTCTCCAGCATTTATTGCTTGTAGACTTTTGGATAGCAGCCATCCTGACTGGTGTGTAATGGTACCTCATTGTGGTTTTGATTTGCATTTCTCTGATAATGAGTGATGTTGAGCATCTTTTCATGTGTTTGTTAGCCATCTGTATGTCTTCCTTGGAGAAATGTCTGTTCAGTTCTTTGGCCCATTTTTTGATTGGGTCATTTATTTTTCTGGAGTTGAGCTGGAGGAGTTGCTTGTATATTTTTGAGATTAATCCTTTGTCTGTTGCTTCGTTTGCTATTATTTTCTCCCAATCTGAGGGCTGTCTTTTCACCTTGCTTATAGTTTCCTTTGTTGTGCAAAAGCTTTTACGTTTCATTAGGTCCCATTTGTTTATTTTTGCTTTTATTTCTAAAATTCTGGGATGTGGGTCATAGAGGATCCTGCTGTGATTTATGTCGGAGAGTGTTTTGCCTATGTTCTCCTCTAGGAGTTTTATAGTTTCTGGTCTTACATTTAGATCTTTAATCCATCTTGAGTTTATTTTTGTGTATGGTGTTAGAAAGTGTTCTAGTTTCATTCTTTTACAGGTGGTTGACCAGTTTTCCCAGCACCACTTGTTAAAGAGGTTGTCTTTTTTCCATTGTATATCCTTGCCTCCTTTGTCGAAGATAAGGTGACCATAGGTTCATGGATTTATCTCTGGGCTTTCTATTCTGTTCCATTGATCTATATTTCTGTCTTTGTGCCAGTACCATACTGTCTTGATGACTGTGGATAAGCCTTCTTTTTAACAGCCAATGGATTTGTTATTGAGAAGCTCCCCTTTAGAAAGTGGCAGCAGGAGTCCTTGTCAGGTGTGAGGTGTGGCTTAGCACTTGCGCTGTGGCCGCCCCGGGCTGTGGCCGCCCCGGGCTCAGCGCTTCTGATCCTCAGCTGCCACCCCCGTGCCGCCCCCATCCCATCCCATCCTATCCCTGCAACGGCCCAGTGAACTGTGGGCGTCATCCCTGCTTTACAGAGGAGACCAAACCCCAGGGAGGTAACTTACTGGCAGGATGAGAAATTAAAACCAGGTGAGGGTGACCCTGAAGCTTGAGGTCATTCCAGGTATGCTGCTGTATCCAAAGACTTGGTTAATTTACTGGTTTTCAGTTTTGCTAATTTCTAAGAGTTAAAATTTGAATCTACCAGATGAAGCTTGTTTCTTGGGTTAATGTATTACAGTTGAAGTTAGTCCCCAAGAACAGCATCAGTTAAGTCAGTTTAAGTTGTTTCAGTTTCATGAATAACTCACATGGTTTAATAGGCTGTTTCCTCTAAGCCAGAGATTCTCAGACTCTGCACTGCTGATACCTTAGGCTGGATAATCCTTTGTTGTGGGGGCTGTCCTGTGTATAATAGGGCGACTAGCAGCTTCTCGCTCGCTCTACCCGCTCGATGCCAGTACTACCTCTGTGCGTCCTCTGTTGTGACAACTAAAACTATCTTCCAGACACTACCAGATGTTCTCTTGGGGGCACAGTAGCCTTTAGTTGAGAATCACAGCTCTAAACTGAAGCTTGTACATGTTGCATTACATGCACTTTCTTATATCATGACTACTGCTGAAAAGATAGGGGGCTTAAAAATAGGTGTATGAACGGTAGTAGGACAAGGTTTTATCACCAGGTAAGTAAAATCAGTGCTTTTCTCTGTAAAAATAAATGCTAAGAGTCTTAGTTAAAGAGGATCTATTTCTTGTAAGCCTTTACATTATTGCATTTTTAGTCACTTTTATCAAAATATATACATCAAAGAATCTCCTAATAAAAAATATACTTAAGCACAGGTTGGTTTGCTCACCTCTTAGAATAAGTGTGGTGTTCTTCTTTTTAACATGGGAGAGAAGTATAGTCATTGATTCCAAGACAGTGGTATCTACCTAATTTTTCCTTCCGCCTCCATAGTTTTGTTATAAAAACAACAAAAAACCCCGAAATACAGTGAATGCACACTTGAAAAATAGGCTCAACTTTACTGATAATTTAAGATGTGTAAGTCTTGCTGTTGGTTTTGTTAACTGTCACATTGGTGTGTATATACGTATGGAATTCAGGAAGGAGAAACTGCGTACTGTACAGTCATTACCTCAAGGGAATGGAGAATTCTCTGTGCCCAACTGCTTAAAGATCCCATGATTGCTCGCAGAAGTCAGATCACATGGTCTGTGTTTCCCTCTGCAGTCAGCGTGTGCTCAGCTTGCATGTATCTGAGTTCCACATTGTCTTAGCAGCTCATAGCCCACTAGGAATGTCTCTTTACTTTCCTGGATCTTTAAAAGAGTAAACTCTTTTCTTTAGAAAGTTGGTTTGGTCATAAATGCGTGTGGTTAAGATAAATGATGTTTTTTGGGCTTTGCACTATGTGAATATCTACATGAACCTTTAAAGCATTTGTGCAAATACCCATTTAAATTTTGTGTTTTTTTGATATATAGAATAATGAGTGCTACTTAGACTGTTGTGTTTGTATCTTTTTAAAAAATTTTTTTTTTTTGGTTTTTAATCAAAGGTTTGACGTACCTTCAGAGTCTAAATTTTGAACGGATAGTGATGAGTCAGCTGAATCCTCTGAAGATTTGCCTGCCCTCGGTCGTTAATTTTTTTGCCGCAATCACAAAGTAAGTTCTTTCTGCTTTATTTCTGGAAGTTACTTAAAAGTAAACTTACGTTAGTATTGTAAAATTCCATTAAATTCCTGTGATATTACTTAACACAATTCATAACAAAAAGACATTTAAAAACCAGTAACCCAGTGCCTGTAGAAAACACTGCATTGAAGGTGTTGTTTTTATACTTTTGGTGGCATTAGAAATTGCTACTGCTTTTTAATCTAAAGAGGATCATTCAGCAGAAGCTCAGGCACTTTGAAGTAAGTTCAAAAGCCAAGAGGTACAAACCACAGATGTTTATTAGAATGACTCCTATAACAGTAATAAAAATAGACTAGACATGAGATGAACATCCAACAAATAGGGAAATGGTTCAGTGGAGGCTTTGTGGCCGCAGCTCATGCATAGCGTGTTAGAGTGCCCAGCATGGTTCTGATAAGCAGTCTACGCAGAACTCGCCTGTTCCTCACACCGTCCTGTGACTGTATTACTAACTGTTGGGGCCACAGAGAGATTGAATGTCTTGGGAGAAGTCATGGGTAGACTGTGGCAGAGCTGAGGTTTGAATGCCGACAGGCTGGCTCCTTTGTCAGCATTCACTGAACTATCCTGCTTTGTGTAGAAAGTGAATTGGAGACCTTGGGCCTCTAATTAGGATATTGAGGACAGAAAGAAGAAAGTGTTAGTCACTCAGTTGTGTCCGACTCCTCTTGACCCCATGGACTGTAGCTCTCCAGGCTCCTCTGTCCGTGGGGTCAGATGATAGCTTAAAATCCTCAACAGATGGTGCTATTAGAAGACAAGGGTAATTTCTGCTCCCCTAGTCCCCTTTAGGGAGAAGGCAATGGCACCCCACTCCAGTACTCTTGCCTGGAAAATCCCATGGACGGGGGGGAGCCTGGTAGGCTGCAGTCCGTGGGGTCGCTAAGAGTCGGACACGACTGAGCGACTTCACTTTCACTTTTCACTTTTCATGCATTGGAGAAGGAAATGGCAACCCACTCCAGTGTTCTTGCCTGGAGAATCCCAGGGACCACAGAACCTGGTGGGCTGCCGTCTATGGGGTTGCACAGAGTCAGACACAACTGAAGCGACTTAGCAGCAGCAGCAGTCCCCTTTAGACATCAGCAGCCTCATTTTTCCTTCAGTGGGTATCTTGTCTAAAGATTTCTCTCACTCCTGAGATTTCAAAAATGATAGTTAAAAAAAAAAAAAACAACAACCAGCAATAGTGCCCAGTGGGTGGATGTTTCTAGCATGTTGCTGGAAGATAGCATCTGAAAGAATAAGGGTGGATGGAGCAAGGCAGAGGCTGCTGCCTGTAGAGAATATGTGGGTAGGAGTAGGGGCTGCAGCTAAGGGGCAGGCTGGTCATAAAGGCTCAAGGATTGGGGCTGGGGTTAACGGCGGAAGTGAGGAGTAAGACGGGAAGCTGCGAGCAAGAGGTGGGAATAAAGGTTTGTGTCAAGGAACTTATGTATTATTCTTTAGCTGCTACTTCTGCATACTTATTGAATTAACCATGTTGACCCATGTGGCTGTATTTTGATGTTGACTGCTGTGTGATGTTCTCGTAATTTAAAAAAACTGATTCTTTGTTGGGATTTAAGCTGCCTTGGTTTTTCAATGTTGGGAACATGGTTGGATGTGTCCTGGCACACAGGCACAGACTCCTGTCACTCAGAAGTGCAGTCGCCAGGTGATAGAAGTACACACCTTCAGTTTTACCAGATACTGCAAAGTGCAGTTTTGCCATATTACCTTCCCACCAAGAGTCAAATGTGATCCTTGGCTAATGAAACCGAAATGACCATATGGTACTTAAGATTGCAGTAATGACCTGAGAGCCTGAGAACAGATGCCTGAACGAGTACCGTGGGAGGGAAGCGGGGAGCCGGGGGAGTTAGCAGAAGTGAGCTAAGTCCTCATCTCAAAGAAGCGGCCCAGTGAATGGTCTTAAATTGCTAAGTCATAACCTGTAGAGGGATTGACCACGTCTTGGTCCCATGGGTTTTTATTGCAAGGTCTTCTGTCCCCTTAACTGTTTTCACCCCCTATTCCTTTCTTTACCATTTTCTGAGGTTGTGATTGAGTAAACCCCATGTCTCTCCCTTAGGACCTGTCTTAATTTCTTCAGTAGCCAAGTCTCTCCATCAACAATGCGTATTTTCTCTCAGTGAAACCCAAAGCCCTTTTTTCCACCAACCCACTAATTCTCTTACAAACAGTAAAAATAAGTAGACAGCTACATAATTTTGTAAATGGTAAGAATTACCTGTGAACTCAATTCGTTTTCAGTGAGTGGTGCCTATTAATAATCTAAGCCCACTCTCATATTCTTAAAGTGATGGTACATTTTCTTCCTCCTTCACCAATTGTAAATAGTAGGCCCAGAGGACTGTTCCCAAAAAGGATTACTTTCTACTTTACGCTGTTTTTTCTTGTAGTTGTTAGTTCAGTAGGGACTGTGTGTTGGGGTGGTTGTCACACAGAAATGGGCGTGTCCATGCAGAGTAACTGGCACGTTAATGCTTCTGATGGTGTTGATTCTGTTCCAAAGCAAATACCAGCTCGTCTTCTGCTACACCCTCATTGAGAGGAACAACCGCCAGATGCTGCCCGTTATCAGAAGCACTGCTGGGGGCGACTCGGTGCAGACGTGCACGAACCCACTGGACACCTTCTTCCCCTTCGATCCTTGTGTGCTAAAGAGGTGGGTGTTGCACCGTCGACCTTTCAGTGGTGAATTTAAGTGTGGTGTGTGCATGCCTTTCCCAGGGCCGGCATGTAGTGCTTCTTTGCTGTGAGTGGCTCTCCTAGCCTCTGACGGGGTCCTGTGGTCTCCTTGTGTGTGCCCCAGGCCCGGTGTGGAGAGGCCGGTTTGAGGGTGCTGAGGGCCTACCTCAGCAGGAGCCCAGACTGACTCCAGGGGGTTTTGTTATCCGTGAAACTGACTGGTTTGAACATAGAAGAGGCTGGAGCCAGAGGATGCTGCCTTTTCTTTGCTCAGAAATTTCTCCCAAATGACTCATTCTTTCTTCTGGAGACCACATCCCATAGTCTTGCACGATATAAACAAATGCCAAGTGATTTACCTGGATGGGTAATTATAGAAAACCCCAGGCCAGTCTTAACATCTCATGTATATAAGGAAGCAGAATTTCTGTTATGACAGTTTGTAACTAGCAGCAAAGGAAGTTCTAGAATAATAGAGTTTCACCTTCAGTTTGAACATACTATAACTCACTGTCAATCTTTGCACAGTCGAAGTAGTTTTCACTTGAAAAGATGAGAAACAGTAGGTGTAATACTCCATCTATGTGAGTGGATGTACTCTTACAAAGAAGGAGCCACGTTAGTTAACAGATCCTGCATAGGATATTTTTGGACACTGTTATTTGAGTTATAGTTTTTACTTTCTCATTTTGGATCTCGTGAGAAAAGAGCTAATAAATATGTGACTTTTGCTGTAGTGTTTATTTATTTGATTTTGAAATGTGATCTTTTTGACAGGTCAAAGAAATTCATCGATCCTCTTTATCAGATATGGGAAGACATGAGTGCAGAAGAGCTTCAGGAGTTTAAGAAACCCATTAAAAAGGTAAATAAAGTTGTGATTTCAGTACACTTTCTGGGGATCTCCTATATGGCTGCAGATCACAGTAGAAGAGTTAAAGGCAGTGTTACATTTGAATACTACATTTGTTCATTCAGCCGTTACAGAACAGCAGACTCATGTTATGTTCTTATGAGAAGAGTGTTTGCCTTTTTTTGTGTGTTTGTTGAAGATTTATGTATTTATTTTTGGCTGTGCTGGGTCTTTGCTGCTGTGTGGGCCTTCTGTAGCTGCGATGTGCAGGGGCTGCTCTGTGTGGTACGTGGGTTTCTCGTTGCACTGGCTTCTCTTGTGGTGGAGTGTGGGCTCTAGGTGCGCGAGCTTCAGTGGGCGTGGTCTGAGAGCTTAGTTGCTCCGAAGTAGTGGGCTCTTCCCAGACCAGAGATTGAAGCTGTGTCTCCTGCATTGGCAGGCGGATTCTTAACCACTCAAGCACAAGGGAAGTCCTGCTTGCTTTTTAATGAATGTTCAAAGCAGATATTTCACATGCTAACTCTGGGACGTGAAGGATAATTAAAAATCAGCTTAACAAATTTAAATCTTTACCACTTGATAGTTACCACCAAGAAACAGTCTCAAATTTGCTTATTGCTGAAACGTCCCCCGAAGTTCACACTAATTTTGTAGGTCTTCATGAGTCGGTGGTGAAGATAGGAATGTCACCGTCTGTTTCTTTGTGGCACATTTGTTTCTTCATTAATCAGATTTAATATGCCTTTCTTTTTCATAAGTTATCATTGGAATGCTTTTCATTTTTTCTTTAAATTTTGCATTTGAGGAAGGTGGTTATTCATTTCATGTTATATTAGATTGAGCAAGAGTGATATATCATGTTACCTGTCCTCCTTGAACTTAAAATCTGTTTAAAAAAATCAGATTTTAAAGACATGTTCACAACGTGTCATGAGCAATTGTGTGTGAGTGGTTTGTAATAAAGAAGTATGCATCAGAGTTAACCTTCAAAATGGAGATTTTTTTTCCTTCACTTTTTTTTTCTCCAGAAGTAGCACATTCCTGAGGAAAAGAATTCCTGAAAGCATTTCAAACTGCTGCTTGCAATCTTGTTTGTAATCTCTGTTTTTGTGCAGGAGGTGGTTGAAGATGAAGAAGATGATTTTTTGAAAGGTGAAGTTGGAATTACACCAAGCTCCTTTGACGCGCACTTCCGCAGCCCTTCAAGTAGTGTGGGCTCCCCACCTGTCTTATACCTGCCGGACCAGTCCCCCCTGGTCACACGGATTTGTGACTGAGGCTGACGTTCCTCCCGTAGTACCCTTCAGTACTGGCTTTCATACTGTCTGAGTGTTTGTTTGAACTCGAGCGAGTACATGCTTCAGGCATCTTACTTTCAAGTTAGACTTACTCTGGTGTCTGAACAGATGTGGTTGGGTTTTTTGTTTTCTTCTTGTTTTCTTTTCTGTTTTGTTCCTGTGGAGACTAAAGGAAAAGACAGAGTATCATGTGCAATATTTTTATAGTGGAGTTGGTGATAAATGTTGAAAGCTTGGCTCATACTTACAAGACTTTGTTGACATATCTTTTCACTGAAAAGTCCTTTAGGACACTCTTTAAAGTCTTCAGAATGAGTTTAACTATTTTGGATACACTGTGTACCCTCTGCTTAATTGCATTTGTGTTCTGGAGTTTCAGTGGGGGTGCAGGGAACATAGGAGGACAGATGGGGGGGAGGTGGCCAGGGCTGGTCCTGGATGCTACACGTTGGAGCTGGCACTGAAGGAGATCTCCAAGGACTTCAGAAACGAATAGACGCCTGGAGGGAAGAGAGAGAGGATTTAGAGAAGCAGAATCAGACAGATTGTACATTTGTGAGTGTAAAAATGGATTTAAGAGGAAAAAAGGAGTTCTGGGTTAATGTAATTCACATTGACTAAAAGAGGGGTTGAACTTTTATAAAACACAGCATTTTATCTTGAGGCTCCCAAGAGTGCTGTTAGAACTGGAACTACTTGTTCGTAGTGGAATGTTATGTTGGTCACTGAGAATTCCTTTGTCCAAAAGTGGGGGAAGAGAGGGGATGTTAGGTTATTTGGTGGAATGGTTTTGCTAGCAACAAGAGACCAGGGTTACAACGCAGTCCCTGTCTACTGACTATTCATCGTATCATGAATTCCAGCTCACTGAAATCCTCCTCTCTTGAGTCTCTTTTTGTATTTTTATAACCAAACACTGAGAGAGGAGGCTAAACAACATTGCTGCATGACAGACTTACGCAAGCGCTGCTCGAGGCATTTTGAAGCTCCTGCATATTTTAGCTTCATTTGTTATCTGTGTACTTTTTTGTTATTTGTGAAAATGGACATCTTTAAATGTATTTATTTTTCTGTCACTTTTCCTATTCTTTATTTAAGTGATATTTTCTTAATCACAAATATTTTGTAATGAAATACTTTTCTCTTTCATAGGGCTTTGTATGCTCTTGTATATTACATTGATGGCAATGTAGAATTTGCAGTTTCAGTCTGTAAATATGTTTTTGAAAAACAAATTTTTATTGTTTTAAAAAGGTTTGGATATTGGTGATTTCTTTTGGTGACTTGGTGGAAAGTCCTTTGAGAGCCTTTAGGTTCTCTTTTTAACTGCTGACAAAAAGATGGGATTTTTGTATAGTGCATAAAATGAGTGATTGGAAACGTGTCCATAGAAATTAATGGTGAGTGGAGTCTTTGTGAGTTGGGGAGTAGTTTTAATGTAGAAGGATATATTTATATAGAAGTCTAAAGCTTCAGAGGAGTTGGAAAAAAAAAATCTGTTGTTAGAATAAAACAGTGATGTGGTTAACTTGGAACTTTTTTTCTTATACTCTCTGAGCTCCATTTTGAAAATCAAAGTGGAAGTTAATAACTACTTCATGGTTGTGAGGATTTGATGAACATTCATGTAAAGTCGGTTGTTTTGCCACCTTGGGTAAAGAGAGATACCCTGATAAAGAGGCTTGTCACACAAATGTTCTTTTGATTTCTGTGGGTTTTTTTTTTAATTGATCTACTGTATTAAAGCACCATTTTGCAATATAAAACTGAAATTGAGACTTTACTAAACTGAGATTTTATTAAAGAGGCAACAATAACTGTCAGTGTGTTTGCAAGTTGTTGGTTAGTCACTGAGTTGTGTCTGACTCTTTTGCAACCCCATGGGCTGTAGCCCACCAGGCTTCTCTGTCCATGAGGTTTCCCAGGCAAGAATACTGGAGTGGATTGCCATTTCCTTCTCGAGGGGATCTTCCCAATCCAGGGATCAAACCCATGTTTTCTGCATTGGCAGCCGGATTCTTTACCTCTGGGGTACCAGGGAAGGCCAGGTTGCAAGTACTCAGAAATAGTTGCATATTGGTGATGAGGATCACTTCCAGGTGCATCTAGAGGGCATCCCACCCAACCGGTCCAAGGAGAACAGACACTTCCCCAAAGTTATAGGTTTTTAAGGAACATCTGTGAAAAAAAAAAGCTGTTTTAATCTCCTTTGGAATTATGTGAAAACAAAGGATTTTTCTATCCCTCTTACTCAAAAGCAGGCTTTCAGTGAAGTAGGAGTCCCAGGGTCCATCATTTTGTCTGCCTGCTACGGGCAGGCCTTCTTTAATGAGAAGTGGCTAATTCTTACAGATGTGAAAGGACTTATAAAGTGTTGAGGGTGTCAGACCTGTCTTCTTTCTGAGGAACTGTGTGACCCTGAGCAAGTTACCTAGCCTCTCTGAGCTCCACTTTGAAAATAGAAGTGGAAATTACTAATAACTATTTCATGGTTGTGAGGATTTAATGAACATTCATGTAAAGTCAGTTGTTTCACCACCTTGGGAGAAAGTTATGCAGGAAGCACAGAAAAGTCTTTTCAAGGTGAAGATAACTTCCATTTCTCCCATGTTTACCTATTTGGTACCAACTTAAGCATCCTGGAACAACAGACTGGTTCCGAATAGGAAAAGGAGTACATCAAGGCTGTATATTGTCACCCTGCTTATTTAACTTATATGCAGAGTACATCATGAGAAACGCTGGGCTGGAAAAAGCACAAGCTGGAATCAAGATTGCCGGGAGAAATGTCAACAACCTCAGATATGCAGATGACACCACCCTTATGGCAGAAAGTAAAGAGGAACTAAAAAGCCTCTTGATGAAAGTGAAAGAAGAGTGAAAAAGTTGGCTTAAAACTTAACATTCAGAAAACTAAGATCATGGCATCTGGTCCCATCACCTCATGGGAAATAGATGGGGAAACAGTGGAAACAGTGTCAGACTTTTTTTGGGCTCCAAAATCACTGCAGATGGTGATTGCAGCCATGAAATTAAAAGACGCTTACTCCTTGGAAGGAAAGTTATGCCCAACCTAGATAGCATATTAAAAAGCAGAGACATTACTTTGCCAACAAAGGTCCGTCTGGTCAAAGCTATGGTTTTTCCAGTGGTCATGTATGGATGTGAGAGTTGGACTGTGAAGAAAGCTGAGCACCGAAAAACTGATGCTTTTGAACTATGATGTTGGAGAAGACTCTTGAGAGTCCCTTGGACTGCAAGGAAGATCCAACCAATCCATCCTAAAGGAGATCAGTCCTGGGTGTTCACTGGAAGGACTGATGCTGAAGCTGAAACTCCAATACTTTGGCCACCTCATGTGAAGAGTTGACTCACTGGAAAAGACCTTGATGCTGGGAGGGATTGGGGGCAGGAGGAGAAGGGGATGACAGAGGATGAGATGTCTGGATGGCATCACCGACTCGATGGGCATGAGTTTGAGTAAACTCCGGGAGTTGGTGATGGACAGGGAGGCCTGGCGTGCTGCGATTCATGGGGTCGCAAAGAGTCGGACACAACTGAGCGACTGAACTGAACTGAACTCAGCAACCTCAACTGGAGGAGAAGGGTCAGAAGGCTTTGCCTGCTAGGCAGTGCTTACTGCAGGATCCTAGAGACATTCTAATAATTTTTGCTCTGGGTGAAGTGCATCCCCCTTGATCATCTCACTATTATGACTTTTCTAAAATTGTTTTGTTCATTGTGGAGTCGGATCTATTTGAATAGTATTGGCTCCAAACCTGTCCTCAGTAGGGTCTGTAGGGCATTTTGCTGATCTTTACTCCCAGGATTCTTAGCCCATCTCTGAGTGCCTATTAAATGTCAAGCACCAAGCTTTATTGTGTGTACTTGCGCCGTAAGTCGCTTCAGTCGCGTCTGACTCTACAGATCCTATGGACTGTAGCCCACCAGGCTCTCTGTCCATTGAATTCTCCAGGCAGGAGTCATGGAGTGGGTTGCCCTTTCCTCCTCCAGGAGATCTTCCCCACCCAGGGATCGAACTCGCTGCTTTTTAGTCTCCTGCATTAGCAGGCAGGTTGTTTTACCACTCGTGCCACCTGGGAAGCCATGATCTGAAAGAGATCATTAGTAGTGATCTCTAAATGTGTGGGGCTAGCAAACTTCAGGCTCCATTTTTTCATCTTAGAACAGTTTATCATTAAATACAGCCCTTTGAAGCAACAAGGCAGATTCGCAGACTTGCTCTAGGTCACTGATGAACTTAGGCAGGCGACCCCAGTGCCCAAACTCAGGCCAGGTTGGCTGAATTGTGAGCCTGGAGCTGAGGGCAAAGGCCCTCTGGAGAAGTGCGGCTCCTCCCTATAATGCGTGTCTTTCCACGCTTTCAGAACTACGTTTCCCAGCGCCCCTTGCGGAGGAGGCGGGCTCCCTCCGGTTTGTACGAGTTTCCCACGGGGCCCTGCGACCCCGCTCTAGATTTCCTCAGCCTCTTGGGACTGCGCCTCCGTAGGACTCCATTTCCCGGAGGCACGCGCGGCGGCGTGGGGGCGGGGCGGGGCGGGGCGGGGCGGCCCGAGGCTGGGGGCGGGGGGCGGAGGGCGGCCCGGGGGTTGGGAGGCCGCTGCCTCCCTGGGCCTGCCGGGCCGGCCGCCTCCGCGATGCCGCTGCTCGTGGACGGGCGGCGAGTGCGGCTGCCGCAGTCCGCCGGGGACCTGGTCCGAGCCCACCCGCTTCTGGAGGTGAGCAGGGCCCGGGCGGGGGGCTTCGAGGCGGGCCCGAAGGAACCCGCAGGCGGGCCAAAGCCCTCCTCAGCCCGCCGCCGCCGCCACCACCAGCTCTCCCCGGAGTCAGGCTCGAAACTTGGCGCAGCTGAGGTTCTGTCGGCACATCCGGAGCCCGGGCTTGAGGCTTCTGTGGAGCTTTTACCTTCTTTGGACTTTACAGGGCATCTGCGGAGGCCCCCCCTCTTTTTCCAGGGGAGGGGACGGAGACCCAGAGAGGTTAGGTGACTTGCCCAAGGTCGCCCAGCACCGCGGCTGGAGGACACGCCGGGACCCCTTCTTCACAGATAGGGCGGTCCCAGTCCCCCAGTCCGGATTTTGACCCGTTTAGGCGAATCTGGGCAGCGCCCTGGGTCGCTCCCTCGCCGCGCATCCCCACCCCCGGTGAGCGCAGCACGGTCCTGGGGTTTTCAGGAAGCCGGAGGTTGTTCCGGGTGTGGGCAGGGGCATCCCGGCGGGTCCCCTGGGCTTCTCGCCCCGGGGTCTGGGGCTCCCGGGTATTTTTAGACGGAAGAAAGGGCCCTCCGTGTTTTTGCCCCGCTGAGCTGTGTTGAGAACCACACCCTATGGAAGGTTTTTTTGTTTTGTTTCCTGCTTTTGTCCTTAGATAGACCTGTGAACCCTTATTCCATGCAAGAGCAGAGACTGTTTGGAAAACGGTTCTTACTGTAAAAAAAAAAAAAAAAAAAAAAAACCAGAACCAAAACTCCCACTTGCCCCAGATCCAGTTCAGCCCATTTCATGAATTTAAGAAATGCCCGCTGAGCCCCTCATGTGGCTTGGTTATGGCTTTTGCCTCTTTCCTTACAGTCAGGGTATGTATAGGGCGGGGATGGTTTTTATGGTTTTTAACCACAGGGTGGCTCAAACACCATAACTGTTAATTAAGTGACATACAAGGGAAAATGCCCCTTTTCACTCTGCAAAGTGAAGCCCAGGAACCTGGCCAAGTCTGTGGGCTTAGGAAAGATATTCTCGAGGTTTCTTCTGTACCAGTTGGGTGGTGTGTAATGATTTTGTCCAGCAGGCTTGTTTTGTTTATTTTCCCTTGATCTCCACCTCCCCCCACGAGAATGTAAGCTTCCTGAAGGCAGAGTATGTGTCTTCCCTTTGTATCCTCAGAGCCTAGGGCAGACCCTGGCAGTGAATCTGTGCTTTGTAAATATGTGCTTCACAAACGAGTGAGCAGAATGACCCCCGAAAGATGAGGCGATGTTACTGACCAGGGAAGAGGGGACAGCTCTGTGTGATTCTCAACTTACACCTCAGGAAAGCCGTAGTAATACCAGCCAGCACGTACTGGGCACCCAGCAGACGCTAGTCACCGTGTCAAGCACGTTCCTGCCTTATGCTGTGTCACCGCCCCACCATTAACGGCGGAAGTTGGGACTGGGACTCACGAAGGGGGAAAGTGGCAGCTGCCTAAAGAACGTAGTGACACTCTATTTTTACGTCTGTTAGAAAGTTTCTATGAAAGTTAGTCCAGGGCAGCACCCTGAGTGTGGAGAGAAGGGGAATGAGGTGAGATACCAGGAACCCCTAGAAGGGAGGTTTGGCCTCTGGGAAGACTCGGCCTAGAAAGGCTGTGCAGTGGGGACCCGTGTGCCTCACAGGAATGTGGCTGGGGCGGGCGGTCTCTTCCACATGCAGCGGCCTAAGGGGAGAGGGGAGGCAACTGGACTGTGCCCCCTGGCCCTGGGGCGGGCAGGAGGGGCTCCGAGGGCAGGTGACCTGGGTGGTTTCCCTGGCACAGAGGTCAGGAGGGCAGAATGGGAGATAAGAGGTGGGTCATACTTAGGTTGCAGAGGTTTAGATGGGTCATTCAGCTGACACGCAGTTTAGAGAAATGAAAGGTTTAATTATTATTTATTTAATAGCAAGTAGTATCCCCTTGGTAAGAAAACAGAAGTCTCAAAAAGAAGAAAAAAGAAATCTGTGACCACAACCATGCTTCACACTTTGGTGACTATCCTTACAGAGGTTTTTCTTTGTATATGACGTACTTTTTTACATGATTGAGTGCTGTATGTCCAGTTCTATAAGGGGTCTTTTTTCCTGTGGCAGTAGGTTGTGAGTATGCAGTAGCAGCAGTTACTAGCCCGTCCACATCTATGTTTAGCATAGGATAATAATAACAGCAGCAGCAGTAATAGCAGTGCTGTGGAGCTCGCCAAGCATCCCAGCCCTAGGAGGCAGGTGCTACTGCTGTTCCCCTTTTACAGCTGGGGACTCTGAGGCACGGAGGGTGGAGGAAGTTGCCCAAGGTTTCACATGCTGCGGGAGGTGAACCCTGGCGGGTTTGCCTTTGCCTCTAGAGCAGCGCTGCTCAGTATGGTAGCCACTGGCCACAGGTGGCAGTTTACATTTAGTTAAAATTCAATGAAATTAAAAAATCAGCTCCTCAGTCACACTGGGCTTCGCAAGTGGCTCAGTGGTTAAAGAATCCACCTGCAGTGCAGGAGACGCAGGAGATGCGGGTTCGACGGCTGGGTCGGGAAGATCCCCTGGAGGAGGATGGCATGGCAACCCACCCCAGTATTCTGGCCCGGAGAATCCTGTGTACAGAGGAGCCTGGCGGGCTACAGTCCATGGGGTTGCAAAGAGTCAGACACAACTGAAGTGACATGAGCACACACGCAGTCACAGTAGCCACGTTTCAAGTGCTCAACAGTCATAAGTGACAGCGGCTGCAGGATGAGGCAGGGCAGGTACAGATGCTGCCATCCCCGCAGAAAGCGCCTTCGGATGGTGCGGCCCAGAGCCTCTGCTCTTACCAGTCTCTGGATGCTCAGAATCCGGTCTTGCAGCGTCTTAAGACTTAATGGTCCCATGGAATTCCGCATAACGTAGTTCCTGCTTTTAAGCATGTGAGACATTTCTGCTCTTTCCCCTTTAGGAACATTCACAGAGCTGAATCTTTATAAACCCCTGTAATTATCCCATGGAAGGGCTTTTTGAGCAGAAGAGCCCTGTAAACGGAACCAGTGTTTTGAAGCAAGGATGCGGGCAGCCATCGGGAGGATAGAGTGGGTAGGGGAGACCTCGGGGTCAGGATCGGGGAGCAGAGGTGGAGAGTAGGGACAGCCGCTCCCTGCAGGCCTGCTCCCAGTTAATCCTGCCACAGCCTCAGCAGTGGCCTTGCTTCCCAGAGGACGGGATGAAGCACAAGGGGCCCAGGCTCTGCCCAGGTCACTCGCTCCAGGACAGAGAGGGCGCCCCCCGCGCCCCAGCATTGTCAAACTTTGTACCTTGCGCTGGGGGCACGAGTTGCAGGCATTGAGGTGAGAGGGGCATGGGATCCAGTGGTAGAATTCTCACCTCCCACACAGGAGACCCCGGGCTCTCTTCTTGGCCACAGGATCATCGTGCTCCCATCTCTTGGGCTTCCCAGGTAGCTCAGCGGTAAAGAAGCCACCTGCCAATGCAGGAGATGTGGGTTCGAGCCCTGGCTCAGGAAGATCCCCTGGAGGAGGAAATGGCTACCCACTCCAGTATTCTTGCCTGGGAAATCCCATGGACAGAGAAGCCTGGAGGGCTACAGTCCATGGGGTCGCAAAGCTCGTCAGACACGACTGAGGGAGTAAACAACTGCAACAGCAGGCGTGAGGAAGACGGAACGGAGGTGAGGTAGGGCCTGTGGTGGGAAGAAGGCTCAGGCCCAGGGCTGGGCTGGGCAGTGCTTTTGCACTTGCTTTCCCGCTTTTGAAGGAAGAACGGACAGAGTCTGGCAGAGGGGTGAGGGGACTTAGTCCTCTGGGGTGCACCTCAGTGATGGGTGAACCCAGGGATCAGTCAGCTACAGCCACGGGCCACATTCTGTTGGTGGATGACCCACCAGCCCAGAGTGGTTTTTACATTTTTAGACGATGGGGGAAAGAAAAGAATGCTTCCTGACACGTGAAACATGAAGTCACTTCGTGACACATGAAGTCGCGTGAAATTCAGTGTTCAGTGTCACTCATAAATATTTTCTGGGGACATGGCCACTTGTCATGTGTTCTCTGTTGATTTCGCACTGAGGCTCTGAGACCGCACGGTCTGCTAAGCTATTTACTGTCTGAAACGAGTACGCTGACCCCGGGGACGAGAGGCCAGTGCCCTCAGACAGGAATTGGGAAATGAGGATGAGCAGTAGCAGAGGAGACTGAGGGAAAAGCTTTGGGTGTGCGTGTGTGTGAATCTGAGTGTTCCGAACATTAAGAAAAACGTGAGCAGCCTGATGCTGCTTTTATTTCAGAAAGGATACGAGTTCATGTAGTAGGACTGTGTGTTTTTGCTCAGAGGAGAACTTTAGCTGATCTTTTCCTTTTTGAAAGTGACGGACCAGAGCAGTGTAGCTGTTTCCCCTTTCAGGCCATTCTCTCTCCCGGTCACGTGCGCTTCTGTTTCTCTGGCAAACAGTAGGAGCTGTGTCGATCAGGGATGTTGTGATTTGGGGTTCTTAGGTACACAAGCGAAAATTCATTTCTCAGAAATAGCTTTGCTTTTGGGTGGTGACCCAGTTGTGAAAGGGAGCGGTAAAAATTTGCCTTGACTCCTTCCTCCCTCTCCCCGAGACGAACCAAAAGAGGTGAGCCTTAAAGGAATGATTTAAGGAAAAAAAAAAAAGAAATTCTGCAATCTCCTTTATCTTACCTTGAATTGAGGTGAGAAGTGGTATGAAAAGGAAAGAGCGCTCACTGCTCTGAGGTGTGGTGAGTTTTTGCACAATCGGCTGCATTTCTTTCTCCCTGACTCGGCCATTGGATTTCACCCTGCACTTCATTCAGTCCTTAGTTCCTCTCTTTTTAGAAAAATATTTTAAATTGACATATAGTAAATTTGCGATGTGTTAATTTCTGCTGTATTGCAGTGATTCAGTTTTATGTATTTATACTCTTTCTCATATTCTTTTCCATTATCGTTTATTACAGGATATTGACTGGTTCCCTGTGCTACGTACAATTAGGACCTTATTGTTTATCCATTCTGTATGTAATAGTTTGCATCTGCTAATCCCCAATTTAATCCTGTCTGAAGTGATTCCTCACTATTTCTCACTGTCGTTCCTCACTGTAACTGCTGCCTTGCTTCTAATTAGTGGAAGTTTATTAGAAGAGAACTCTGTATAACTCATCGAATGGATTGTCATGTTCTCTTCTATCTCTTTATTTTGTTCTGCAGTAAGCCAGCACTAACCGAAATTAGCCCCAGCTGTGAGGAATGGCCAGCAGCCAGTATAAGTCTATAAAAATGTTCCCGGTCTAGACAAGTACCTACATGCTCGGTATTTGTACACGTGGTTAGGAAATTGTTTATTGAGGAGTTTACTTGTTGTAAGTAAGAAGGAAATTAGGATACATTTTAGTGATGCATCCATTTGACATTTTTTAAAAAGAGAAGTTTAATTCTCATTAAAGAATTAATTGGGCTTCCCTGGTGGCTCAGATACTAAAGAATCTGCCTGCAATGCAGGCGATCCAGGTTTGATCTCTGGGTCAGGAAGACCCTCTGGAGAAGGGAATGGCAGCCCACTCCAGTATTTTTGCCTGGGAAGTCCCGTGGACAGAGGAGCCTGGTGGAGTACAGTTCTGGGATTGCAAAGTCAGACGTGACTGAGCGACTGAGCAAAGAATTAACTGGCCACCTGAGTTTTCCCTGCTCCAGATTTACTACATAAGAATTTATACAGAGACTCAGTAGACACCTAATATTATCCTACCTTTTCATTAATTTGCTTAGTTTTGAGTTCTCCTTTTCGGTTTTCTACTTTAGCTTTTTTTTTTTTGCCACACCACGTGGCTTGTAGAATCTTAAGTTCCCGAACCAGGGATCAAACCCATGCCCCCAGCATGGGATGCTCAGTGTCCTAACACTGGGCCACCAGGAAAGTCCCCTGGTTTCTACTTTAATAGCATAATTACCTCATAGGGCATTTGGAGAATAGAGGAAGGACAGCTGGGACAGTTAAATGACGGGCGTTGGCCTTGTTCCAGCACCATCGTGGTTATATTGGTGGATTTCCTTCCAGTATTTTCCCCTATATGTAGTAACATTTTTAGCATTGTTGTACTAATAGCATATTTACAGCTTAAATTTTTTTTTCCCACTCTTTTAAGTCTCGCTCTTCAGTTTTACATTTCTCAAAACTCCTTTCCTGTAGTCTTCATTTTTTGTGACCGTGCAGTTAACAGTTGTGAGCCGGTTCTGCATAATTTGCTTACTTTTCTGTTGTCGTCCCCAGCTTCATGACATTCTCAGTAGCACAGGGATAAGCGCATTGGCATTTGAGGTTATTTCCACAGTACAGGTTTCCAGAGGGGGGGTTACTAGGTTGGAGCATAGGGAAGGCTTGGACCCATCCTCATCTTTAAAGAAAGTGAAGAAGGGCTCTAATTTCTGAACTATCACTCCACTAGTCCATCTGATCTGATTCTCTTTATAGTTGCAAATAATTGTGGAAAAGGATCTTTGCATCTTATTTCATAGGTTTTAGAATGTTGTTCTCTAGGGCGAAAAACCTCCAGAACTTCCTTGCTTTCTTCATTGTTCTACATGGTAGTGTTTTTATTTATCCCACTGCGTTTTTATTTAGCCTTTCTGTCAGATAATACACACACCTCAGACCTCACGAGGGTGTGTTTCCACCTAGGGCACACTTTGGCTCTCTCCACCTATCTAGTTACTCAAGCCTCACTAATTTCCATCACTATTTTTTATTTTTTTTTAATTAAACAGGAAAGAGCCAGACTTCTCAGAGGTCAGTCTGTTCAACAAGTGGGACCCCAGGGCCTTCTGTATGTTCAGCAAAGAGAGCTTGCAGTGACCTCCCCAAAGGATGGTAGGTTAGGAACCAGTGAATTGGGCCTTCTCCCCAAAGGCTAGTGGATATTTTATTTTATTTCTTTTTTAAACAGGCTCCATCTCCATTCTGGGTTCTGATGATGCCACCACTTGTCACATTGTGGTCCTGAGGCACACAGGTATGACGAGAGACACGCAGGAAACGGTTCCTTACCTGGACCCACCGTGTGGGCCCTTGAGCGTCTTTATTTGTGTTTCCTGGCTCCGCTCACCTCTCCTCCATCTGCATGGCCCCTCCCCGAGGCCCTGGTCAGATGGGTTGGCTGGGCAGCCCAGACGTCTCTGGTTTTCCTTCTTGCAGGCTGTTCAAAGACGAGGCGGTCCGAATGGACAGGCGTAGACCTGGGCCGCGGCCCGAGCTCTCCTCGGGAATAACACGAGTCGTTTCACCCCTGTTCTTCAGGCAACGGGGCTACCTGCCTGACCCACTGTGACGGAAGCGACACCAAAGCTGAGGTCCCCCTGATCATGAACGCCGTAAAATCCTTTTCCGACCACACTCGACGTGGAAGGTGAGAGCCCCGCTCCTGCGTCGCGTGACGTGGGGAGCTTGGCCCCGTCGTGCAGAGGACGCTGCTCGGGGAGAGCGGGCGCCGGGCCTCGGGCCGGTCCCGGAAGGCGGGTCTGAGGCTGGACTTGGAGTTGTGTCTGATGTTCTCGAGGCCTGTGTGTCAGCCGATGCCTGCGACAGCCCAGCAGCGGACTCTCCCCCTTTGCTCGGGAGTTGTTTGTGGACCGTTTCCTGTGAACCAGTGCCAGGTGCCAGGGGCCTGTGAATGGAGGAGGCAAAGCCCTGCCCCCCGGGGGCTCACAGTCCACTGGGAGGGGACGTCAGCAAGACAGGATGTAAAGGAGCGGGTGGGCTGTGAGGAGAGGGAAGGTGGGGACGAAGAGGGTCAGTGTTGCAGACTGTGTGCGAGAGCTGGCGCCCGCCTGCTCACCAGTGACGGAGAGCGTGCTCACCTGTTTCCCACGTGCGGCCCCGGGATGGGCTCTCAGGAGCCACGTGGCTCGTTCAGGAGCTCCCGCGACCCCAGCCCGGCCGTCGCCTCCCCTTTCTCTCCCATCGCCGGGCCTGGCAGACATGGCTGTCATCTTATTTGAAGTCTGGGGCAGCAGTTCACTGGGATGAACTAGTCTAATCATACACATGTTCTTCAAATCCCAGGGATTTAAGGAAGGCCTCCTCGCCATCGCGGTTTCCCTAGTGGAATACAGATCAGTTTTTAAGTTTAACTCTCCCCCTGTGGGGTCTGATGGGCTGGGCCGGCCTCGACCTCGTGTGCTGTCAAGACGCTGAGTCTGGCAGGTTATGTGGCTGGACTGGTGCCCAGGGCCATGGTTCTCAGCACACGGTGTGAGAGAGGGGAGTCGAGGCCACCAGATGCTTCGCGCTCAGCTGCTGACGCGCAAGATTCTGGGGCCTTCCTCGGGAGGGTGCTGTCTCAGCTGAGGGAGTGTGAAAGGTGGCCGCACTCTGTTGAGCTCGGGTCCCCAGGTTGTCACAGGCCGAGGATAGGTTAGCAGAGAAGCGAGCGTGGGAAACACAGGGTTAACAGAGGTGATGCGGTTTTTCCAGCTACAGGGTTTCCTGGAGCTTTGCTCTGCTGCTCTGCGTGGTGGCTCCCCTGGGAATGGGCGAGGCCTCCCAAACTTATTTAACCCCAAGAACACTTTTCTGTCTCATGTGACCAGTGTTCAGGGGGAGGCACTGAGGAAAAAGCTGGTGTCATAGATAAGCATGTGCTTCAGACGCCGACCCAGTTTCCTTCTCTGTAAAACGGAGATGAGACCCTCGTCTCTCCAAGATGCTGGCCTCCTGGTGGTGGTGATGTGCCCGTACAGGGCCCGATCAGTCCCGTCCCTGCACCCCGGGTCCTCAGGGGTCACCCTCAATCAGGCTGAGACTTTTAAGAGGTTTCTGAAGTGTCCCGCTCAGGGCGGGTGAGTAGTGTGATGTGATCATCACCTTCCAGATTAGCCTTTCTTACTCTTGCCTCCTGGTGGCATCGTGTTTGAGACACAGCACCCCTGGGCCCCTGGGCAGAGCCCCAGTGCATGCGCCATGGCCTGAACGGGGCCGGGAGCCGGGAGCTGAGGCTCAGGGCAGACCCAGGCCTGCCGGGCCAAGCCGTCCCGCCTCTGAGCACCCCCTCCCGTCTCTTTGCCAGGCTGGAAGCGCACCTCGTGGGAGGCTTCAATGACGACAGGCAGTTGTCACAGAAACTGACTCATCAGCTCCTTAGTAAGTTCACTTTTCTCCTCAGATCTGATAAAAATGTGTACCTATTTTTGCTTAAATGAAAATCCCAATTAGTACAGAACCTACGAGGGGCACACGTGCTGGGAGCCACCTAAACTGCTCAGCTCGGAATCTTCCATAAACACCCGGAGGGCAAAGAGCTAAACGTTTAGAGCTCGCGGGATGGGGCAAGGTTCCCCTCAAAACAGCAGGTGATGCCTCACAGTAAGCCTGTGAATTGTGTGAAAAAAACCACCCTCCTGCAGAAATGTTCATGTTAATCTGCAGAAAGTTAAAACCCTGATAATACTATTTTTTCTTTGTTAAATTAGCAAATACTACCATGAGAAAAAATGACATTGTTCTGTAATTAACCATGAAGCAGCAAGGTGGGTGTGTCCCTGCAGTACTTTGGTGGAACCTTTGGTGGAACCTGTCAGAAAAGCCTTTTGGCATCATGGTCCATTGCAGACCCAGTAATTTCTCTTTTGAGAATCTTTTCTCAGAAAATTAATCTGAAATGTGCGTAGAGACTTACACCCAAAGGTGGGCAGTAGAAGATTATTTACAACAGGAAATAATCTAATGTCCATTAGTAGGGGCATAGTTATACATGCCATTAAAAAATATTTAATGAAGAGGTTTGAATTGCGTGGGAAAATAACACGTACAAACAATCAGGATGTGAAATTGTCTACACGGTGTCTGAGCTCAGCTGTGCATGGACAAACATGGCAAGAAATACACTAACTGTTAAGTGCTAGGATTATCGGCAGGAAAAGCCCATGCACTTACACCTTCAAAACCCACATACTCCTTATACCCTTCTGTATTTTCCAAATGTTTCATAATGGTCAAATTTTTTTTATGACCCATAATCAGGAAAAAATGTTCTTTAGGAAAAGGTTAAAATCTTATGACTCGGTTTGTCCCGCCAGCCTCTCAGAATAGGGAGAAGAAAGGAAAGTCTCGGTGGAAGTTTTCTCTGGGCCTGATGCTGGGAGCACGTCTGGCCCTCGGCAGGCAGGGTGCTGGGCGTCCACTCACGGGTCTCCGCCTCCGATGGACAGGCCAGGCTGTGGTCTAAGGGTGGTGGTTCCTATGCTCCATCCCCCTCTTTACTTGCTCAGCGTATGCTCTCCTGCTTAAGGGAACTTTTTGACATCAGTTTTAAAATTCTAATTGTAGGTGAATTTGACAGACAAGAAGATGACATTCATTTGGTGACACTGTGTGTGACAGGTGAGCTCCGCCATCCTCCCCGGAGCAAAGCTGTAGCTTTGGGGGACGTTTTGCCCTCGCCCTGAAGGCAGGCCCAGCATCTGTGCCTCAGTCGCAGACAGCAGGTGTTGTTGGCTTGCTGCCCTCTTCCGGCTCTTCTCATATCTGCTGGCATGGCCTTCGCTGCCCTCCCACATCCAGACCCCGCGCAGCCTCCACTGAGATCCTGACCCCCCACCCCTGAGGGCTTTCCTCTGACCTCCTCGGGATTCTCAGCAGCCTCTTCCATTTCCTGGGAGAAGAGCTGCCGCCACGCATGTGGGTGGCCGGCAGCTCGGACTCTGGAGGGGCAGTTTGTTCCAATAAGCTGACCGCCCCGGGGCTCAGCTGGGAAACGGGGACACAGACCCTTTCATGTTCTGATCCCCCGCCTTTGCAGGCAGCGGGGGCTCCTTCTTGGCCTCTGTTTATAGAAAATGAAAACAATTATTTTGTATTTCTTAAAAACTAGATCTTAAAATTCCTTTTTTTTTTAATGTGTTAGAATTAAATGACCGGGAGGAAAATGAAAGCCACTTCCCAGTAATTTACGGCATTGGTAAGTAGCGTGTCGGGCGGAGGGTCTGTGCTCTCGTCTGGTTAAAGGCCGACTCTGCAGCTGGTGGGCCCGCGGCTGTGAGTGTGGCAGCGCCTTGGGCCCAGGTCCTGACTCTTCTCTGGACCTGCTGGGCACGCCTGGGCAAGGAGCTTCCCTTCTCTGACTTTGTATCTATGAGAGAAAAAATGTCCACATCCTAGACTGAAGGGGAACAAGGTAGCAAATAGAAAGCTCGGGCTTCGGCCAGTTAGGGGACAGCACGCTGCCAGTGGTCTCTGCTCCCCCCAGAGGCCCCTCTGCTTTTTTCCTCGAGCCAGAGCTCTGGGGGCTGGAATGGGGCGATTTGAATCTTCTTATACTCAGGGAACTAATTACGGTTCTGATAGAGAGCAAAGAGCCTACAAAGCAAAGTGAAACCATCAGGCTAAAGAAAACCCAGAGTGTCCCTTCCTCCTGTGACGGCCCCAGGCACTCCCGAGGCCTTAGCAGGCTGGGACTGGCTCTGTCTTTAAGGATTTATTTGGCTGCACTGGGTCTCAGCGGTGGCACGCAGGAGTTTTCCTGCGGTGCCTGGGCTCCTCTCGTTGAGGCACCTGAGCTCAGCACTTCAGCTGAGGGCCTCGCTGCCCTGCTGCGTGTGGGGTCTTGGTTCCCTGACCAGGGATTGAGCCCGAGTGCCCTGCATTGGAAGGCAGATTCTTAACCACTGTACCGCCAGGGAAGTCCTGAGACTGGCTGTCTCTACAGAGGGCTTCTGCCATATCCATAACATTCGGTTTATCTGGCAGGGTGTTCACTGCTTTATTCTCTGTACTTTTTATGTCAGAAATAGTCATAACCAACACATACCACCAACCTTGGTGCCGATCCCAGGCCATGTTTACAGCCTTGTCTTGTCAAGGCTTGTCTTCCTTGTCACAGGGCTAAGCAGGGAGGCCTTGCCACGGGCTGCCTGAAGAGATGGCGCGTCTCCCGGGTGGGGGTGGCCTTTGGTCTGGAACCAGGTCTTACCGAGTCCAGCTCGGGCCTCAGCACTTCTCAGTGAGATGCCTGGCCAAAGGGTTGCACTCTCCCTTCCCAGAAAGGGAGAGACTACTGACACATAACTTTGTTCAGTCTTATCACGGGTGATGCTATGAGTGTGAGACTTACCAGCCCCTGTGGCTTTTGCCAATTGGAGTCGTCCTGTCGTCCCTCAATAGCTGTCAACGTCAAAACTGCGGAGATCTACAGAGCCTCCTTCCAAGACCGAGGTCCAGAGGAGGAGCTGCGGGCCGCCCGAGCTTTAACAGGAGGACCAGTAAGTCCGACAGCATCTTGTGTTACAGGGTGAAGGGAAACGGGAGGCATCAAACTCCAAAGCCTTGAGCTTTATCCACCTTGGAAATGAAAAGTTTCTGATGGCTTCTGGAAAGCTGCCCATGATCAGGAACCACCACACACTCACAGCACGTAGAGAAGAGGAATGTTTCAGGTTAGAAGTGCAAGACCCCGGTTCTCCACCCTGAAGATGTTGGGGATGTATGTGAATCTCCCCCGCATCCAGATCCAAACAGAATGAACCCCTTGTACTTTGTAAGAACTTTACCAGTGAAGTTACTACAAAGAAAGGAGAGCTAAGCGGGGAGAAGAGGTTTCTCTCTTCTGTACTGCAGGTCACGTTGTCCCCGGACGAGGTCACTGGAAAGCAGTTTGCTGGGATGAATTGATGACCCCAAAGAATAATCAGATCAGTTTAAAAGTCTGATTGCCTTTGGGTCTTTTTAGTTAACTAACACCTTCATTTTAAAAGTTAGGAAAAAAAAAATAAGACTTACACACTGTTTGAGGAACGGGTGAAAAAATCCTTTAAAAACGTGTAGTGTGAAAAAAAAACAAATCGCATCAGAGCACCCAAAAGAAGTCTGCTTGCTTAGGAAAAGCTGCCATTTTCACTGAAAACGTCTGGACCCAATGGTCTGTTTTGCCAACCCTTTGACATTGTTACATTTCCTTTCTCCATCTCTCAGGGAGCAGAGCAGTCTTGATTTAGCTAAGATTCAGGACATATTTTAGTCTCAGTAACCAAAACTGAACATTGCTGGTTAAGCTGGAAACTACCATTGGCACATTTGAGAATTCAGGGAATTGATCATTTGGCAAATTTTTACCAATTGGCTTTTCCCTTCTTTTGAGGGGGCAAAAGGCATGTGTTAAGCTCCAAGATGACTAGGGGTGTGAACAAGGAGGCAGCGAGGGGCATGGCCCTGGGTCAGACACGCGGGGTCTGCAGCCCAGCCCTGACGCTTACAGACACGTGACTTTGGGCAGCAGGCCCATCTGTCTGAGCCTCACGTCTCCAACCAAAATGGAGAACCACCACCTTCCTGCAGGATTGTTATCAGAACTAAACAAAATGATGTCCGTTGCCCACAAAGTGCAGGACCAGACCGGTGGGAAGTAGTTAAGTGGCAGGTTGTTTTGGTGAGACAAAACTTGAAAGAAGCTTCTCTATCAGATAAATGCCTTAAGTTCAAGACGACAAGGGAGCTTGCATTAAAGGTGGTGATTCTGCCGATAACACTCCTTAAATTCTGCCCCTGAAATGTTCTTTTTTTAGATGATTAGCATTTACGATGCAAAGACAGAGCAACTTCGTATAGGACCATATTCCTGGACACCGTTTCCCCACGTGGATTTCTGGTTGCAGCAAGAGGATAAGCAGATACTAGAGGTGAGCGTCTATAGGCTGGGCACCTCTCTGGCCCCTGGTTTCCTCATCTGTCGAAGAAGAGCGTGTCTGTGGAGGGCGCCACCCGCAGGCCCTGCTGAGCTGCTCCTGATGTCCGTCGGGGAGAGTGGGTCCTGGGTAGATGTCGACGCAGCAGAGCAACAGGCAGCCATCTGCTTTGTTCTCGTTAACCCAGGACACCTGTGTCTTACGTAACTTTACAAATTATACATATTTATACAGTGATCTGAGAACAGCCTGATGAATGTGTAATGAGCACAGAGACACTCTCGACAGCTTTATCAAAGTAGGGAACAGAGCAGGTTCTCCTCTCACACCCCAAATCTTTTTTTTCCAGAACCTTTCCACGTCGCCCCTGGCTGAGCCCCCCCACTTTGTTGAACATATTAGATCTACGTTGATGTTTTTAAAGAAACACCCTTCTCCAGCTAACACACTGTTTCCTGGGAACAAGGCTCTACTCTACAAAAAAAATGAAGATGGCTTATGGGAAAAGATCTCTTCCCCCGGAAGCTAAAAATAGGAATTACCAAAGAAAGCACCTCTCTGACACAACAAAAGACCACTGGCGGGGCAGGGAAGAATGTGAACTTGGAATCTTTACCTGTTGAGTCTTAGGTATCTCTCCTTACTCAGTGTTTTTCAGATGACTTTAAAATAAAATCTTATTTTGGCAAAGGCATTTGTTTAGGTTTTCTTCTTGGTTAGTATTAAGAGGCCATAGGAGAAGCTGTCTTTTTCAGTATTCTATAAGCAACTATTTCAGATACTTGGGTAAGTCTTCCTAATTCTGCTAAATTAGTGAATAAAGGAAAAATTGTCAGTCTGTTTAAAATGCAGTAAAATTAGGCGAGAATTTATATATCTCAGATTTTTCTTAACCTCAAAATACTTTAGAAGCATCAAATCAAACCTGATATTATGTATTTTTAGAAACCTTTATTCTTTTGAAGTTGCTATCCAAAAGGAAGTCACCGTGCCCAATTAATGCTAAGATTTATGAAGTGAGCTACTGGGAACAATTTCAAGAACCTTTATTGAAACCAACATTCAAATAGTATCTCAAGGGTGAAATTCTGTTTCAGCAAAACCAATTTAACAATTTCAAATATATATAAAAACATTTAAAAATTAATCTTGTTAAAGGTGATAATTTCCCCTTCCCCCGTTTTATCTGCTATACTTCATCGCACCAAAGAAACAGGGAAGACTTATTTAATCATTTGCACCAGGAAAAAAGGAAAGGAAAACTGCGCTTTGACAAGTGCCAAATGTCAGAAATCACATCAAATCAGAGTGTAGTTATAGGCTTAATATGGCATAACTAAGGCTTTCAAGTCGACAGTCCCCAAAGCCCATGTGAACTGCCACCATCTTAGGGTCTCCCATAGCTTGACTGCTGGTCTTCAAAGGCACAGGGGCCGCTGCCGATGAGAAAGGAAGTGACGCGCTGCTTAGAGACGGGCAGTAGTTAAGGGTTTACTTCAGTTATTTCAGCAGTCGTCTGGCCTGATCAGCCTAAGACTGCCCCTCTGGATCTTGTTTCTGAGTTGGGCCCAAAGGGCTGAGCTGCTATGAACAGACGCTCCAGAAGCTCCCGTGAGAACAGGTCAGAGGTGGACTTAAATTTAGAGTTTCAACATAACGAGGTGCTACACAGCATGTTTAATATGAGGCTCTTAAGAGCAGCATCTGTGGAGTTTTCAGATATTAAACGTAGAAATAGAAATGAGTACAGTCTGTACTTCTGTGCCAATTTAAAAGCTTTACCAGTATTTAAAAATATACATATATATATATATATATATAATATGGTTGAGAAGAGTCTTTACAGTTACTCTGAATAGAGGAGTCCTTTAATTTGTTTACAAATAGCATATAAAGGGAGACATGGACTGGCGGCAGAGCGAGTCAGACAGAAGCAGTGCCGGGTCCAACCTGACCTGCCACCGCGTGAGTGGACACGGCCCTGACCGACGTCTCGGGGGCAGCAGCAGTGGGGGTGATGGAGGGGGCTTCTGATGCTCCTGTTTACAACCCCACCGTGCCCACTCCTTAAGCCAGACAATCCAGCTGCATACTGCGACCTGATCCAACTAAACACCAAGTAAGACAGATGGCAGAGATCGCCGTCTGTCTGCAGCAGGGCCCCAGGGAACCCAGAGAGTTCTAGAAAGCTGTCTCACAAGAACGTACTATGTACAACCTAGTAACGTCTTACATGTGTCTGTTTAGAAAGAGAAGCGCAAGTATTTCAAGTGGCAGGCACTTGAAATTCTAATGTTTCTGTGAATAAAAAATGTTTAAGGTAACTGGGGGGGAAATGGTATTACTATAGCTAGGTAGACAGAAACAGTAGCTGTTGGTTGTTCTACAACACCCACAAAATCAGACACATCAACTGCCATCCCAGAGGCCTGACTCTCAGGCACATATTTGTGCAACCATCCCAGTTAAGCACAAATAACAGTAATTTCTCTCATATCAGCATGTGGCACAGTTCACATTTCATCTTCCCTGAAACAATATTCAGTACAGTCTCCAAGCAAACACTGAGTTTTATCTTAAGCTCTCTGGCTCTTCTACCTGCGGGTGGTCACCTTGCAGGCCCTGGGCCCCGTCCTGGAGGGCTCCAGGCGGCTCGGCTTCCGGAGGGGCGGGCGCCCCTGGGTGCCGCTCGGGGCTGTTAGCTTCTGAGGCCTCTTGCCCCCCCGACAGTTGCTCCGTCTTCTCTAAGTCTTCGATGTGACTGACTGAGCTGGTCTCGCTGATGGCATCCGAACCACGCAGGGACCTTTTAAAAGGCTTTTGGCCTAGAGGAAGATCAATGAACAGCACTCACGGTTCAGGAAAGGGCACCCCTGCGGCAGAAGCCAGCTGTGCTCTAAGGATCTGTATTTAATCACAGCAGAAGTCCCAGGGGTCCCTGGCTCTGAAGCATTAATAGTGATGAGGCGAGAAATGAGAGCTGATGTGACACTAACATGCCCCCAGCGCCAGGGACTTCGAGGGAACCCCAGATGGGAGAAACTCAGAGGAGTGGACACAGGTGGAACGTGATGCTCCACAGGTGGCTCCCCAAGGCTCAGAAATGGCTGAAGGGGCAGAGGTGTGCGTGTGCACTCAGTCACTTCAGTCAGGTCTGACTCGGTGACTCGGCAACCCCATGGACTGTAGGCCGCCAGGCTCCTCCGTCCTTGGAATTTCCCATGCAAGAACACTGGAGTGGGTTGTCATTCCCTCCTCCAGGGGACCTTCCTGACCCAGGGATTGAACCCATGTCTCTTAAGTCTCCTGCATCGGCAAGTGGGTTCTTTACCACTAGCGCCACCTGGGAAGCCCAGGGGCAGGGACCGCTGTTCTTAGATGGAGAAAAATAGAACTGGTTGAAGACCCAAGAAGACAGAGGAATGCAGGTCATAAAAGCGTTATGTGAGACTGGGGTCTTTTCCCCGGGGAAATACGAACACCTTTCTTCAGTGGCAGTGAGCTCAGGCATGGAGACTGACGTACCTGGGAGCCTCTGTTTAGTGCGAGTGCCTGTCGGGGTCTGAGGCGGTGTGACCCCCGAGCCCTGCACTTTGTAGACATATGTGTGTTCCGTGGACTCCAGGGAGCCTGCGGGAAGGCGGGGGAGGTGTGGGGTGAGCGCCCAGCGCAGGCGGAGGCCCATCAGCCTCGTTCCCACGCACTTCCTGCCGAGGCTCCAGCTCCCCTGAGCCAGCTGCTGGCGGCTGAGCCACGAGTGCTGGCCCCATGGGGTGTTCCAGCCTTGTCCCCGCAGCCGTCCTGTGTGCGTGTGAACGCAGCCACCCTGCAGGGTGGCCTGAGCGTGCCTGGAGAGCCAGGCCCTGGTGGGAAATGTCCTTTAGCAACAAGGAGTGGACGCCTCTTGGCTAAAGGCTGAGGCCTGGCGGGTTGAGAGTCAGGTTGTCCCCTGCTGCCCTGCGACCGTATAGCTGTCATTTCCTGGGGAAGGGCGCAGGTTTCGAGAGCCTACTCCACTGGCAAAGCAGGGGACGAGGAGCCTGCAGTTCAGTGTCCTCTCCCCCAAATCCCAGCAGCTGGGAATACTCGCTGTTTGAACTAAAATGGCTACAGACCACAGCCTTTAACCTGCCCCATGCAAAAGCAGCCCTTGACGGTGGTGAAACACTAATGAGAGCTGCAAAGAATATTAACACTGGTCTGAACGGACCGCTGCGTGGGCTCAGACCCCAGGAAGGGGAGTCTGCGGGAGCACAGGAACGTGCCTCTGTGCTGCTCCAGCCGCCAGGACAGGAGAAGAGGATGAGAGTCCCAGGCAGACAAACCTCGCCTCCTTTCAGGTCCCGGCCCAGCGCCTGGTGTGAAGCCTGGGACGCAGACATGGCTCCTCATCCCGGGACACCTGGCCAAACACTCAAGATGCGAGAGAGCGGCAGGAAGGAGGCCTACCTGCCGTCAGGTTGAACGTCCTTCCTTTTTGTGACGCCTGTACTGGAGAAAACCAGTTCAGCACGGATCCGACCACAGGGATCTGCCGTAACACCCCCTGCAAACACAGCCGTTGCTCAAGGCCATCGTCCGGAGGCGAGCTCCCAGCCCGAGTCCAGCCGGGGGCCCAGCCTGGAGCCTCACCTCTTCCAGAAGCCGCTCCTCATTTGCCTTCTGCAGCTGAACCTGAGCTTCCTGGATTCCTTTCCGAACCACTTCTGTCATGTTTTCCAGAAGCTGTGTTAAGACCAAGAAAAGCATTATCTGTTCAAGCTGCTTGCTGGGGTTCTAGAACTATAAACACAGCACTGGGGACATTTTTCAAAAGTGTGTTAGTAAGTGGTACTTTAACATGTCAGTGTGAAAATATAGCAGAAAATCAAATAGAAGAGGTCAAGATGCTAAAGGAGGCCTAGTGCTAGGTGCCGTGGTGACTGGCCTCATTTGCCAGGGAAGAGAAAGAACTGCCCCTATGATCTGAACATCCTAAAGGAGGCCTAGTGCTAGGTGCTGTGGTGACTGGCCTCATTTGCCAGGGAAGAGAAAGAACTGCCCCTATGATCTGAACATCCTAAACAGGAAACAGACACAACAGGGGCTTCCCTGGTGGTCCAGTGGTTAAGAATCTGCCTTCCAATGCAGGGGACACGAGTTCCATCCCTGGTCTGGGAACTAAGATCCCGCATGTCTGAGGACAAAAGAGAGCTGGCAACTGGAGAGCCGGCACTGCAAGAGGACCCAGTGCAGGCAGAAGGAAAAAATAAGACACGGTGCTCAACATTCATGGAAACGGAGGCAAAGGTGATACAGGCAGGGGTTGGAAGAACCTTTAAGAAGGCCACCCATGGAGGGATAAAGCTGGCTCCGAGGCTCCTCAAACCCCTCTGCTTCTGCATGCCTCCTACCGAACGTGAGTCACACGGCACGGGTGTCCGCCTCCTCTCAGGCCAGCCTTGTGCTGCTCCCTTTAACCTCCCTTTGAGGGATTGCTAACGGCTCACATATCTGCTGTGGAGAGCGTCCCGTAGGCCTGACAGCCTGGTCCTCTGTGCCAATTGGCCGAGAGCAGCAGGTCTATTACCAGCGGGAAGTTCTGTTACCCGAAGCACCATCCCATCCAGCCCCAGGACCAGCTCTGACCAGCTCCCGCCTGGCCTTGCAGGGCAGAGGTGATGTGAGCGCATCTTCCTTGAACGCACATTTAGCACCTCACTTGCACATATGCGTCTTCCCCAGGCTGGCTCATGACCACCCTGTACCTGCTCAACGCCTGGCTCACAGGCGGCCTTTAAACACTTGGGGAAAGAATGAATGGACAGACATTGCCGAGGGAAGCTTCTTCCTTCGTGACTCCAGCTAGTTGGCTAGGGAAAACAAAAAAGGAATGAGGCACAGATTACTCTTACGGACCCTTGAGTTCTCCTCGATTTCTCGGGCTGTGACTGCGATGGTCTCCACTAGTTCGGAAACATCGATGTCATCACTCGCCATGCCAATGTAAATACAGCTCTTCATGCTTTTATACTCAGGGCCTGTGGGCAGAAACAACAGACCAACTTGGTTCCCAAGTCCGCTGTCACGAGTCAGACACAGGCCATTCCCTGCACACCTCACGGCCAGGCATGGGGCAGCCTCCCCAAGGGGGTGAGGACATGGATCGACTGCGGATTCGGGACCCAGTGGCAGGGGTCAGGGGCAGGAAGCTCTCTCATGCTATGAAGAGCTACACCAGTTAAGACAGCCCAACTCCCTTTAGGCCAGTTAGAAAAGGCTTCCAAAGTCCACAGCTGACTTATAAGAGTAATTACCCATTTTAAATGTAAGGTCAGATTCCAGTTCGTTTAACTTTTTCAGGAGCCCAGCATGGATTTTTTCCCCTTCTGGATCCAATTTCAAACTGCTCTTATCATCATTAGCGTGTTCATACCTATAAACAATATCACATAACAGCACTTCAGTAATTTAAAATAAGTGTCCCTCCAGACACAGGATGACAGGTGGGGTAGAAGCTGATGGAAGTTAGTAAGAATGTGGAAGGAGACACAGGGCCAAGGAGCCACTCAGAGGGTCTCAAGATCAAACCTTAAGAATGTCCCAGGGGAGCCCAAGTCTCCAGGTGCATGAAATGTCCAAGGAGGGGTGTGGTCTGGAAGCCCCATCACTCGTAAGGGGAACAGGAGGCTTCCCTCATCCCAAGAGGGGACGAAGGGACTCAGACGCCCACTGAGTCAGAGGCTGGAGGGTTTGCCCCCACTGGGAAGCGGCTCTCCTGGGTGGGTTGTAGCTCTCGGTTCATGCGTCAGTGGTGCACTAGTAACTTGCAACTTGGCGCAGAAAGAACACACAGCAGCTCCTGCTTCACAAGTGCGTGCTGGGCCGCGTGCGGTGTGCTCTTTTAAACGCCCAGGTCTAGGTGAACTTGCATCAGGCACGAGTGCCGTGACTACACATATTCATCTTAGGTTTTAAGCTGGTTCACACCCATGGTCTTACCATACCTGACAACTCCTATTCCTGGCCAGTTGGGGTCATCAACGTATAAGAGGCCTGCCGTTGCCATCACCTCCTGCTTGAACTCCTCTCGCAGCTGCAGTGTACAGGTCAGGACCGGCAGCTTGCTCTGGACGCAGGCCACCAGCTGATCCACATCCTCTCCCCGAGTCCCTAAAACTGGACACGTGCACAGAATGTCAAGGAAGCACTTAAGGAATGGCTGGAGATGAGGCAGCTGTGCTCTCACTTCCGCCGTCAGACATCGGCAGTTCTCAGTACAGCCAATCAGTTGCAGTTGAGGGGTTAGAAAAAAAAAAAAAAAGCCAGTAAACCCAGATACGTGAGGATATGAGATACATGAGATATGTATGGATGTGAGAGTTGGACCATAAAGAAGGCTACGTGCCAAAGAATTGATGCTTTTGAACTGTGGTGTTGGCGAAGACTCTTGAGAATCCCTTGGACTGCAAGGAGATCCAACCAGTCCATCCTAAAGGAAATCGACCCTGAATATTCATTGGAAGACTGATGCTGAAGCTCCAATACTTTGGCCACCTGACGTGAAGAGCTGACTCACTGGAAAAGACCCTGATGCTGGGAAAGACTGCGGGCAAGACGAGAAGGGGGCAACAGAGGATGAGACAGTTGGGTGGCATCATCGACTCAATGGACATGAGTTTGAGCGAACTCTGGGAGATAGTGAAGGACAGGGAAGCCTGGTGTGCTGTAGTCCATGAGGTCACAAAAAGTCGGACACGACTGAACTACAAACCCAGAAATGGAAGAAGCAGGTGTTAAAAATTCACATAGCTGACGGTCTAGGTGTAGACACATTTTATTCTTACACAGAAGACAGCATTAGCCCCTCTGATTTAACACACAGTGAAATCCTACCATAGAAATCAGATTTTTCTTGAAGAAAGACTGCTTAGGTCAAGTGATAAACATTTCATCAGGTTGCAAACAAGAAGACAACCACACAGTTGAGTGAGAGTTCTCACTCTCCATTAACATAGAGGGAAGAGAGAGATTTTAGGGGGCGGGGGGGAGGGGCAGCAGGGCAGGGTGCTGATGGCAACAGTACCAAGTACTTCTGAAGGTCAGAGCCTGAGAGTCTCAGGGTTCAGGGATCCAAGAGGCTTGGCAACATCACTATGCCCTTGCTTCCACTGATTCAAAAGCTTATGTGATCTAAGCCTCAATACATGCAGCCTGAGGTGTCCACAGTTACTTTTTCCAGTTTGAGAGGCTAAGCCTCTGGGCCCGGACCCCCTGCTCAGCAGGACCAAAGGCTCCCAGAATGTCCCGAGGCCTCTGGCCACAGTCACGATGTGCAGGACAGGTGCCTGCACTTCCCTACTTTGAAGTCTATGGGAACATACCTTTCCAAAAATGCCGAAAACTCCTCATGAAAAACCATCAAGCATTCTCTAAACATATTTAGATCATCTCAGAAAAAAGCGCAATTAGACTTCTGATGCATCTCTATACAGCTTATTTTTAAGTGCCTACTATAAAATATGCCAAGCACTACCCAAGCCACCGCATGTTCACCGTCTCACAGTTTGATCTTCACATCACCACTGCGAGGTGGTGGGGAACAGGTCTGGAGACAAGAAACTCGCTCCAGGTCCCACAGGTATGAAGTAGCTGAGGGGGGACAAGAAGCCCCAGGACTTTCTGTCTTAAACGTCCACGTGCTTTCAGCTCTGTTGCTCTCTAAGAGGCCTACGACAGTGACCTCGACCTTCACTGGCCTGTTTGGTGCCAGGCTCCATTCCAAGTACACTCAGTCAACCAGAATCTCTGCAGGTGGGGCTGGGTGCTGGGGCTTTTCAGAACTCTGCAGGGATTCCAAAGTCACTCTGGACTGAGAACCCCTGAACAGAAAACAAAGGGTCACAGAACATCAACACACAGGCAGTGGAGTGACTTCACAGATCTCTTTGTGAGGAGGCACCCTGGAAAGGGCCTTGTCTACCTAAACGCAGTTAAATGAAAAGGAAAAGCCTCCCCAGGGAGAGAAGACAGCCTCACAGGGCAAAGCAATCCGTCCACAGCCCGGACTCTGACCACCTGGCACTGGTGCCCTCAGAACAACACCAGGGTGCCCCACAGAGACCGCTTACCTGCCGCCGTCATCAGAGGGCTGAACCGCATGCACGTGCCCTCAACCTCCAGATCCATGACCGTGAGGCCGCTAACGGGCACCAGCTGCTTCAGCTGTTCTCCCAGCTGCAGGGAAAGGGGCAGAATGAACGCACTCTGCAAGGAGGGCACCCGTGTCTCCTCATCCACTCAGCCCAGACCCAAGAGGCTCCTGGAGGTGAGTTTCCTTTCATCTGTGATTTTCTTTGAATACTTCTGGCACCTTCATTTTAAAAATTGTAAACTTTACATTTTTTCTTACTAAAAAAATGTTTGCTATAGAAAAATCTAGGCAATACAGATAAAACAAACCAAACCAAAACTTACCCACAATATACCACTGAGAAACACCTCTTGACTGCTGACATGTGGTATAACCCCCACCTTTTGCGTGTGTCTATGTGTGTTTCTTCCGTTGCTGTTGTGAAATAGGATATACTACATGCTGCGTAGTAAGCTGCATTTTTTCATGCAATTCACAGTGACCATTTCCCTTCTGCCATGAACACACAGCTACACGGTTTATACTGGCTGTTCTGAACTTCACTGCATGGGTGTACCTTATTCACCTAGGAGTACACCTAGGTATACCAAACACCTAGGTTAGGCATGTCCAATTATTATTTTTTTTTTTAGGCTACACTTTGCGGCATGCAGGATCTTAGCTCCCCATCCAGGGATTGAACCTGGGCCCCGTGCAGTGGAAGCTCTTGAGTCCTAACCACCGGGGGCATGTCCAAGGTTTTGCTAGGGTTGGTGCTGCTCTGGTGAACACCTTTACATTGTTTAGAATATTCTTTATATTGAAATCATGCCATGATTTCAGTGTCAAAAGACAGCCAAAGCAAAGGGCCCCTCCACCAAAGGCATGCAGGGGAGGGTCCATGTGCCTCCTGGGATCAGCAGAGCTCCGCAGTGCCTGTACCGTAGGCCACGTTTTGCTTGCTGTCATTCAGCCTCACAGGGCCGGACAGAAACGGCTCTGTGCAGAACCTGTGGGAACAGTGCTGAGAGGGCCTGCCGGAACTCGTGCAGCCTCTGGGGCTGTGGTTTTTGCTTAAGAAGCCCAGGACAAAGCCCCACGCTTCACAGGGGCTCCCCCGTGAGTTTCTGTCTTCCCAGAGGTGACTACGCATTATCCCAACCATCCAGACGCGGCAGGAAGGGCACGTGACAGCGTTCTTACCCAGCGGTTCAGGGCATCACAGGAGTGCCTCTCTCGGCCGACGGCTGAGGGGGCTGTGCTGGGCGCTGGGGTGGCATTAAGTCCTGGATCTGACACAGAACACAGAGGGGGTTTGCCTCCCGGAAACACAGCCAACTACAGCAACCCCCCAACCCGTCTCACTTAGCGCCCAATGTGAACCTGAGAGAAAAGCCTCAAATATTATGAAGATTAATACGCTTGCATCTATTCACACAAATGTAATTCTAAAAAATTTTTCTCTCAAGGAATTCTGAGCAGAAATCCAAGCATAAAATTACAAGTCACCAACTAGTCTACAAGCACCGAGCCCTGTGCAGGGGACTCGGCCCAGCAGCACGCCAGGCCTCACAATGCAACCGGTCTCCTGCGATCAACGGTCGAGGTGCCTGCTCGTGCCAGGCGCTGCACTAGGCATGGGGTTAGGATATGAGGCAGACAAGGTTTTTGTCAGGCTGGCGCTTACGTTCTATGGGAGAAACAGCATAAAGAAATGAAATCACCAAATACTGCTGTCAGGGCCCTGAAAGAAGGTGAGGCTCTGAAACGATATGAGGGAGTCGGTCACATCAGACAGGACAGGCAGGGAAGGCTCCACGAGGGGATGGGCACTGCGGGGACCCGAAGGCTGAGCAGGAGCCCGGAGGACGAGGGGGATGACCGCGCAGAGGTCCTGCTCCAGGACCTCAGAGAAGACCAGTCTGACTGAAGCGCAGTGAGCAAGAAGAGGAAGGCAGGGGGAAGGGGAGGGCTTGACTCGCAGGCTGCATGAGGCCTGGATCAGAGCCTGGACTCCATCCACTGGGCACGGGAAGACACGCAGGCTTCGGGCAGGGGAGGGACAGGATGTGGAGAACAGTCTGGAATGGGGTCCATGGTTGTCGGTGAAACATGAAAGCACCCTGGACTAAGCAGGGCGCCTTTGGGACATTATTCACAAAGAGAGATTCTTGAATCCACTTACTGAGTCACAACGCTTAGGAAGCGGGGCCCCCAACTCTGTTTTCAAGGGACTCTCATTCATTCCAGCAGTAGTCCAGGGACTGGTGTTTGGAAACCACCGGTTTAATCACAGCAAACTGTCAGTACAGTGCTAAGGCAAATAGGCCTGGAGTTCTTGTGAACCTTAATACATCTTTTTTGCAATGATGACAAGATTTTAGCAATCAAAATATTTTGGGCTACCTAGTTAACTTGAAGTGGTTTAACATTCAAAGCCCTTACACACAGAAAAATAACCCTCATTTAAAAATCACCTACCAGAGCCTGGGAGTTCCTGGAAAAATCTGAATACCACCACTGGGGAACTGAGCTCATCTTCCACCTGAAACATGGAATCCAATTGTTACCACATGACAGTAAATTCCAAACACCTACAAAATCAAACGGCGAGCTTGGAAACTAGGTTGCAGATGTTGCCCTTAATAAACACATAGAGAGAATTCCCTGGTGGTCCAGTGGTTAGGAATCAGTGCTCCCGCTGCCAGGGCCTGGGGTCAGCCTCTGATCAGGGAACTAAGATACCATAAGCTGTGCAGCAGGAAAAAAATCAAAACACCAAAACCAAGAAAACCAACCAACCAAAAACCCAACCACCATCACCACCAAAAACCACATCAAGTCCAAAGGCTAATCTCAGTTGCTAGGGAAATAAAAACCAAGGGTTTAGTAAAACTCTTAGAGATAATTATAAACCAGTCCTGAGAATGCATTATAATATCTGACACTGGTACATTAAGAAGCAGAAGGAAATTTTGATAGTTATGGATAAACATGGGTCCAACACAAAAGATCAAAAAAGACAAGAAAAAAGTGGCACTAGAATTAGCGTTGAGAGTCCAAGCTTTCAAGAATCCAGAAGTGAGGCCACTGCAACCAGGACTGACTGGAGCCTTTTCTACTCATTGTGTGAAACTCGCTAAGCAGAAGGCAAGTCCTGCTGGTGTGTGGATAACCACAGTCTAGAACTGAGGCTATGTTTCTCTAAATCACCGAAGCGGTACTATCATTCAGGACAGGCATCAGACAACCATCTTCACTAACAGATTTCCTAGCAGATGAAGATGGCCACTGCATTAAGACTGCCCAGCCCGAGGTTCATGTTCTCCACTGAACAAATGTACAGTCAGCCGTCAGCTTCCCCTCAGAGTCAGGACAGAGGGCGTGGCAATGCCCTCCACAGACGGTGGTGTTGGCGAAGGGGGTGGGGGGTAGAGGCAGAGAGGCTCTCCAAGCATTCGACAGCTCCAGCACTGCAACTCTAGTCTTGAAACCTATTTCCCAAGGCGCTGGGAGGGCCACACTAGGGCATGCAAACTGGGGAGACAGGCCCAGGATCTTCCCCTCTAAGTTGTTCAAAGGAACAAATGTGTGTGAGTCCGATTAAGCAACAGGTAGATTTGAATCTGCCAATTATTTATGAAGTCAATTCTTGTGCTTTCATATCTACTATCTCTTTTAACTTTCACATAAACAAATCTATTAGTTACCTTTAAATTCAAAGTGGTTTAATATTTATATAGAATGGAGTAAGCATAAAAAGCGAATGGTAGAAAACTAACAAAATTCTACATTCCTATTCTCAGTTAGAACAAGGTAGAACTTGAATGCCAACACTTGCATAGTCTTCTGTTTCTTACTTCTTTGAGCCCAGTGGTTGCAAATGTCAGTGTGCATAAGAAATACCGCACAGGGCTATATATGTAGGATTCTGGTTCTGGCCACATGGTGGACCAAGTTGACACTGAAGTCATCAAGTCTAAACACCTGAAATGCTTGATTAAATGTAATCAATAACCAAAAGAAGTTCAAATCATTGTTAGGCTCACAAAAAAGGTGAAAAACTTCATCCACTGATCAGTAAGAAAGCTTAACTCTGCCTAAGGCTCTTCAGAGAGAGAAATAAAATTCTTTCATGAGAAATGAAAACATCAGGTGTGCTCTGCACCTGTGTATGACATCCTCTGTGGGACTCCTAAAGCTGGGAAACCAACATAAATAAACGCACCCAGGCCAGTCACACAAGAGAAAAAAAAACTCGCTTATAACAGAAAAATTATGTAACATAGGAAGCAAGAGTCAGCAGACACAATCGAGAGGACAATTTGTGGCCCCAAAAACTGAGACTGAAACAACCACTGGAAACACATGACGATCACTGTGTTTAAACAGAGAGACAAAGGACCAGAAATCCTTGTTTTAAAAAGATTATTAAAAAACAGAATAACTTGAAAAAGGACTGAAGAGAATATCGCAGAATCAAAGTGGTCACTGGAAGTAAAAAGCACAGTGAATGGGTTAAACAGCAGATAAGATGTTGCTCAAGAATAAATGACTGAACTCAAAGAAGGATCTGAAGGGAGGCAATAGAAGGCAGCAGAGAGAGAAAGAGATGGAGGCGTCCAAGAAATTGATGGAGGGCGGAATGACAGGCTCAGTATGCAGCTCGCTGTGTTCTTGAAGGGATGACATATCTGAAAAAATTAACTTTACAGAATTAAAAAAAAAAGAAGAATCCTCATGTTAAATCAGCACAAGTCCCAAACAGGATTGAAAAAACAAATCCTCACTTAGATGTATCATGGTGAAAGTGCAGAACACTAAGGACCAAGAAAATCTTAAAAGGCAGCAGACATAAACATGGAACCATGTTCACTGCCCCACGGAGGCATTCTGGAATTCTCAGGTGTAACGGTGACAGTGTTAGAGTGTCCCCTCACGGGCCGACTTTAGAATCCACTCCAAGTGCTTGATAAGAGCCCAGTAAAACAACAGCCTCATCAGAGCGCAGTTGCCGAGGAGACTGAACTGGCACCCTGAGAAAGCGGGTCATGAGTGCCACCCCTGGCCCTGGCACTGAAGGTGCTGAGCTAGGGAAGTGGGTCTGTGTCTCTGCAATGGGCGAGGCTCCGAAGGGCCCTCCAGATGGGAAGGAAGAAGGTCACAGGCGCTGGGAGAAGGGAACAGCTATGCAGCAGAGAAGCTTTTCTGAGATACGCTAGGGTCAAGTCCTGGCTTTGCCACATACTAGTTCTGGGACTCCGGATGCACAGCTCATCTGAGCCACAGAAACAGATGCTGCCGCTCAACCCCAGAGGCTTACTGTGAGGATTCACGAGTCAGCACCTATGACAGCACCAGACAAAGGCTGTAGCAAGGAGCAAAAGACAATAAACGATTGCTTCCACTTTATGGGGCCTGACGGTCTTCATTCTGTCTTCCCACACATTAGCTGATACGCCCCTCTTAATGAACCACCGAGGCAGACAAATCCATTCTCCTGTAACTACCCTGAGACAGAGGGTCCACGGGCGGAGGACTCAGGCTTTGAGAGTACATCCCAGCTCTACGCTGCCTCGCCACTTCCTTATCCTGTCTGTGCCTTAGCTTCCTCCCCAGTAAAAAAAAAAAAGGAATAACCACTGCATCCAACTCAGAGAGTCTGTGTATTTATTCACACTTGAACACCTACTGTATGCCAGGTACCACACTGGGCGTAGGATATAAAATTATGAACAGACAAAAGTCTTTGCCTTTACAAGTCTTCTCCAGACAAAAACAGACAAGGAACAAATACAGACCACAATTTCAGGCAGTGATAATGATGAAGGAAAAAACCCAGAGCAGACAGAGTGATGGATGGTGGTGGGTGTTACTCCGGTGGGGCTGGGGCTCAGGGAAGGCCTCTCTGAAGAGGTGATATGTGGGAACTAAGATCTGAAGGATAAGAAATGGGTAATGAGAAGAATTAAAGGGAACAGTGCTTCCAGGTATGGGGAACAGCATGTACAAAGGAGACTTGTAACAGTTAAATGAAACAGGCATGGACGGGGGACTTAGTATCACGCGTGCAACACAGCAAGCATGTCACAAACAGCAGCTGCCGTGGTGACAGTGGCGATGATGATGGTGGGTTACTGACAGGAAGATGATGATGACGGCGTTGATGGATTACTGACAGGTCACAGTGCCTCACGGTGTTTGCCAGTGACTGTCCGCTCTATTGAGTAAAGCAGCCACTGGAAGGAGGGAGGGAGCAGGGTTACGCCTGGGCTCTATGTGGCCTTACAAAGAAGTCCAAACCAGCTGGCGATTAATGAGCAACCTCAGCTCCTCCTGGTTTGCAGGAGAATGAGGAAGGAGAGGTGTGAGGAGGACACCTCACACCTCAGCAAGGGAGCGACAGGAAATACACAGGCCCAACACTGCCTGTACCCCACCAGCGTGCTCATTCGAGTCCATAACTTAGTCTCTCTGTTTGCAACAAAGAGTGTCCAACCAACATACCTTCACCGACAGCTGAGCTCACAGGCTTGGGAGGTTAACAGAATGAGTCAGTGTCACAGGGCCCCCGTGGCAGAGCTGAAATTGGAACCCAAGTCTCCTGACTTACATGGATCCTCTGTTTCTCCGGTGGGGCCACTGTCCCCTTCCAAGCTGGGAGTGGAGTCACCTCAGGTCAAGTGAGTAGCTCCCAGCTCCTACTCAGAAGGCAGTGAGGGAGCAGCCCCTGATTAGGCACTTAAACTGAACCATGTACTAAAGTGGATACAAATTACACTCACTTGAACCCCGAATAAACTCAAATGTTAGCTTTAAAGTTAACTATATCCTGTAGAATTGTCAAAGAAATGCTCCTTCATGCAAATGCTCTCTGGGATCAGAGGGCTTCACAAAGGGTGGCCCAAAGTACTCTGAGAGACAAAACAATTTTCGACTTGAGGAAGATGGGTGTTCTAAAAATCCCTGGACAGGTGAAATCAATGGTGCTTACTACATCTTTGTGCAATTTTAAATTTTAATAGAATAAAAACTGTGAATGGATTATTTGAAAAGCACTGTAGGTGTTCAAACAGTGTATGGGGCAAATTTCTAGGCTTTCTGCTAACTGCAGAATTAGGTCATCAGGACATGTATAACTTTCCCAAAGAATGGTGGTTAACTGGAGCTGCCACAATTCCATGGACATGCACCAAATCTGGAGAAAATCATGTTAAGTTACTGAAGGTAAAAGTTACTGACTTTAAGAAACAGATCAAATTATATACTATACCAAGATTTTGATGTGGTTCACTTTCTTCAAACTTTCTTGCAATCGCTGACTCTGCAAATGACAAAAAAACAGTTTCATGTAATTTCATATTAAGTAGTAGTTTTCATAAGGGTCTTTGCAAGTCTGCAAACAAGGATCTTGGGCAGATAAAGCCATCTGCAACTTGATGATTTCTAAATTTGGCTGCCAATTTTTGCATTTCAACATCTGCAAATATTTCCCAATATGCCAGTTACAATTACATTTAGTGATTTCAGAAAAGCTTTTTCTAATGAGACATACATGAATTTGTTATGTTAGCAACATAGAGGTCATTCATTCATTCAAAAAATACTGAGTGCAAGGCAACAAAAGCAAAATTAAACAAGCAGACTACATCAGACTAAAAAGCTTCTGCACAGCAAAGGAAGTCATCAACAAATGAAAAGGCAACCTATGGAACGGGAGAAAATATTTGCAAATCATTTATTTAATAAGGCGTTAAAATCCAAAGTATATGAAGAAGTCATACAACTCAATAGAAAAAATCCAAACAATCCAATTAAAAAATGGGCAGAAGGTCTGAATAGACATTATTCCAGACAATAGGCACATGTAAAGATGCTCAACATCACTGATCATCAGGGAAACGCAAATCAAAACCACGAGATGTCACCACACACCTGGGAGAATGGCTGTCATCAGAAGGACAAGAAACGACAAGTGTTCACAAGAACATGGAGAAAAGGAACACTTGTGCATTCTTGGTTGGAATGTAAATTGGTGCAGCCACTGTGGAAAACATATGGAGCTTCCGCAAAAAATTAAAAATAGAACCACCATATGATCCAGCAATTCCACGTGGGTTATCTGCACTGAAGAACAGGGAAATACTAATTTGACAAGGTATGTTAACTTCAGCATTATTTACAATAGCCAAGATACAAAAACAACCTAAGTGTCCATCAAAGGATGAGTGAATTAAGATGTTAGGTCATATAATACACACACACACGCACACAATGGAAAATAACCAACCATAAACAAAGAATAAAATCTTGTCATTTGCAACAACATGGGTGGACCTTCGGGCTTCCCAGGTGGTGCCAGTGATAAAGGACCCACCAGCTAATGCAAGAGACATAAAGACCTGGGTTCGATCCCTGAGTCGGAAAGGTCCCCTGGAGGAGGGCATGGCAGCCCACTGCCGCATTCTTGCCTGGAGAGTCCCATGGAGCATGAAGGGCCACAGCTCACAGGGCCACAAAGAGCCAGGCACGAATGAGTGTCTTGGCATGCACACATGCATGGGCCGTAAGGGCATTACTCCAAGTGAAATAATTCAAACAAAGACAAATGCCATGTGATCTCACATGTGAAGTCTAAAACAAAACAAAGCTGATAGTTACAGAGAAGACTGGTCTCTGCTAGAGGTGGCAGCTGGGGGAGGTCGGTGAAGGGACTCAAAAGGTAAAAAGTACAAACTTGCAATTATTAAAAAATAAGTCACAGGGAATATAGTCAATATTACTGTAGTAACTTTTTTTGTGTGTGTGGCCATGCTGAGTGGCATGCGGGATCTTAGTTCCCTGATCAGGGATCGAAACTGGGGCCCCTGCAGTGGAAGCGCAGAACCTTAACCACCAGACTGCCAGGGAAGTCCTGGAAACTAATTCTTAACATGCGATCACTGGACCTTATATTTTGGGGGAGCTGCAGAGACCAAATGAGAGCCTGCAGCCATGGGGAGCACAATGCTTGGCACTGAGTTTAATGCTCTGAAACTGCTTCCCATGAAGATGAAGAGGAGAAAAAGGAAGAAAGAGAGGAGGAGGACACTGATTTTTGCTCTCTGGGAACGTGAGGCCTGGTGTGGACTACAGGGCAGGATGGGACATGGGAGACCACACCTGCTAAACCTCTGTGGGCCTTTCACATGTGCGTTTAGCAGCGTGAGTCAGCAACAGAGGCCAGTCCTCAGGAGGGTTTGCGATCCACTGTGGTGTCTGCCGGCAGGTATATGCCAGAGTGCAGGGACCTCAAGTGTCTGGTGGCTAATGTCATCATTATTCTCTCGTACTCTGTAAACCAAAGGGAGCTGAACACCTCTCCCTGGAGTGCCCCAAGCTTCCCCAAACTAAGTTACCATGGCAATGAAGGCTTCTCCTTCTGAAGAACCAAACCTCAAGGTGAGAGCCAAGAGCCCCAGGAGAAAATGTTTTTAAAATGTGCTTCTGTAAACATCATGAGCATGAATCTTAATATTACTTCATGTAAAAATGAAACTACTTAATTTAGAATGTTCATATTTCATTAGAAACTCATGTTAAAATAACCTATTATAACAGGACCCCTATCACAGTAATATGGAAATACTAATTTTTCTTAAATATAAAAATGACACAAGGATGTACGAATTCCAAGAATATATTTAAAACAAAGATTTATTTTTTCTTGTTTCTGGCTGCACCCATGCAGCATGCAGGATCTTAGCTCCTCAACCAGGGAAAACAAAGATTTATTTTTAAAACTATCTGCATACCTTACCATATGATTAGGCCCTACTGTAAGAGCTTTACGTGTATGAACTCACTAAGTCCTCATGACAATCTTTCATTACATCATCACCTCTATTTTACAGGTGGGAAATCAGAGGGACAGAAAGGTGACATCATGCTGTAGACTTAGGGAGAACTCAGCTCTCAAAAACTGCGTACATAAGGCATTTTTTTGTTTTCTGAACTACAACATAATTATGTAGTTTTCACAATTAGAACACCTCAAACAGAGAATTAGAATTGTCCCTAAAGCCTTGCAATTTGGGAGCCCAAGCCAGCAGGTGTTAAAAATATCCATGCCAGCCTTACTCCCCCCAGCCAACATATTCTTTTACCCTCAAGAGTCGGTGGTCAAGTGGAACGCTTATCCCGGCCTCCGCATCCTCCTCCACTCCTTGGCTGTCACCGGGACTTCGTTTCTCCCCCATGCTGACACCGGCATTCATTTTAATCGGATTTCATTTGGACACAAATGCTGGGACAGCCCCAGCAGTCTCTCCCACAACTTTGAACAAGAAACCTATATATGCAGGGCAATGAGTCTGCTTGCTTATGAGAAGGGAAATCCAGACAAGGAGGAATTGAAGGCAGGGTAAATCAGTGAAGGACTTTTCTGTTTCTGCCATGGAGTATCTGTGACTTGTGCGAACTTCAGGTTTCCACTCACCAGCTGACAGGCATGCTTGATCCTCTCCACAATCCCATCGAGTCCCAAGTACTGTAAAGACAACCACAGTGGCAGGGCACGGAGCTTGTCTGCTGGCTTATTTGATGTAAGACCGGAAACTAAAGTCTAAAAAAGTCAATATAGGTTATTGCTTAAAGCCAATGAAATCACATAGCAGAACTAACCACTTTCCATTTACTATGCACTTAGTTTGTGTCAGAAGTTATGCAGGCACTTAGCTTGCATTATTTATTTGATCATCAAGCAACTCCATGAGCAAAGTATTCTAGGCGACTTGGCTCAGAGATCTTGCTTTTTCCAAGGGTTTGTGGCTAAGATGTGGCAAAGCCGGGATGAGAATCTAGACAGGTTCATCCCAGAGCTGGAGCTCTTAGCCACTCAAGAGGTAGCCCCTTCCAAGGCTGTTCTGAGCATCCTCAAATACTTGGCCAGAAACACACGAGCAAGGCTTAACTGTTTAAGAACCATTGAAAACTTATTTCGCAGTTGCCTATCACTAACTGGTTCACTAACAAGAACCATCACTATGGTTTTAAGAACTACATCATGTTACAACTTTTTAGACAATGTGGAGGATCAAGGGCCTTAAAATAATCTTAATTATTAATTCCACTGTGGGAACCCAGTCTAAGGAGTAATTTGAAACACGAGTGATGCTCATTATTTCAGTAACAAAAATTTGAAAACAGCCTACAAGTTCACAAATGGAGGATGACTGTGGTACTTAAATGATGGAGTATTATACAGTGATAAAAGTTTTTCATACACATGGGGAAGTATGGGGAGAATAAATAGAAAAAATACATATGGCATAGTTTCCCTTATGTAAAAAAAAATTTTTTTTTAATGAAAAATCACAGATGTAGCATTAAGGGAAAGATATACTGTTTCCTTTTTCTGCTTTTGCCCCCAGACGCAATGATTACTAGCCACTCCCTACCCCCTCCTGGTGAGAGGAAGTTTACCAAGGCAGGATCGTCATGCTTATAGAGGGTCACGGCCGGAACAGCCGGCAAACCCAGCCACGGGCCAGGGGTCAGCACCATGCTGTCACATTTGGTTGCAGCCTGCCACGGAGAGAACAACTTCCTGTTAGACATCAGGATCCAGTCAACCCAACACCCTTTTCCATTCATAAAAACCATCAGGGATGAAGTGATTTTAAAGTCCTTCTTAAAAACACAGTATTTAGTAAATCAACAACATACCAGCACTGAAGAGGAGACATAACCTAGAGCCAAGGTTGCCAGATTCACACTGGAAGAAAAAACACAGACCTGAGAACTAATTACTTACTGCTGCTTATTTGCTAAGTACGTACTCCCCCCCCCCCCCCCAATAAAAGAAAAACAAAACAGGGCTGTGCTGTTCCACGCGGACATTTACATGTCTTTCAGCTGTGTTGGTAGCATTTGCAACAGCAACACAAAGTGTGGTACATATATTATACAAATTTCAGAAAAACCTGGAAAATGCATTTTAATTAAAATGTTTCAGGGGATGTCTTCTACTTATCTGTGTAATAAGTGTCTTACTTTCTAACTTGGTAGCTATTATATCCAAGTCATCACGCTTCCCAGAGGGACAATATTAAGAAGCAATACACCGTGTATGAATGACGTGCTGGAAATGGACCCCCAGGGCTGCCCCACATCCTCCCCTGCCCCTTCTCTTTGCAGCACTCCAGCGGCCTTCTGGGAATCCACCCCACCTCCTCTGAGAGACCGCAGGCTCGCAATCACCTAAACTACCAGAGAATCACATTTCCCTGGCCACAGCGACTGGCTCAGCAGGAGACTCCTGGCAGGACTTCTGACCCTCCGGACAAAGCTGGAAAGGTGGCTGGAGTTGCTGCAGCTATGCTGCACCAGGACAGGAAAGGCTATCGACCTCCAGATGGAGCCACCGCGGGGGACGTTCAGCCGAGGGACCTGGCTGACGTGCGCCTCCCGCCGATCCTAACACTGGTCTGAGCTAAGGCAGCCAAGAAGATCTCTTTATTATCTGCAACCCAAAGAGTCCCTGGGCTTCCCTGGTGGCTCAGCTGGTAAAGAGGCTGCCTGCAAGGTGGGAGACATGGGTTCAATCCCTGGGTTGGGAAGATTCCCTGGAGAAGGCAACAGCTACCCACTCGCGTATTCTGGCCTGGAGAATTCCATGGACTGTATAGACCATGGGATCACAAAGAGTCGAACATGACTGAGCGACTTTCACCTTCACTTTCACTTCACCAAAGAGTCCTTAGAGATAAACGTGTCGACAGAGTGAGCTCTTCCCAGGCACTCTGCAGGCCCACCGTGGAACCAAACTCCCCTCCACTCACCCCTCCACGTGGAGCCATATGCCATATTGCTCACAGAGCTCTTTCAAACGCCCAATCTTATCTGTGTGCCCCACTGCTGCAGTTCCTAGCATAAAACACACAAGAAAGGACATAAATATTTTCCGAGTCTTTACAGCATGATAAAAGCTTCTATATACAGTATCTCCCTTTGAGAGAAGTAATCTATCTGTTTTGTTGAGATTTACCTTGTAAACTGGCTTAAAATCAACCACTGCAAGCTGATTATTCAAGGATTATTCAAGTTTTGAAAAATAAAAAATCAAGCTTGCTGTCAATTTAAATCCTCTCTCTATATATCTATATACACTAATTTTCTATGTACTTGATTTGTTGTTTCAGAATATATTCAAGTTTCCCACCCAGACTGTGGGTTTGTCAATTTATACCAGTATTCTATCAACTTTTCCTTTATATATTTCAATGTTATATTCATAAGCATTTATACATATTATATCTGAGTAGATGCCATGAATTATTACTATGAGGTCTATTTTATCTCATAGCAACCCTGCTGCAGTACTTTTGTTCCATCAGCATTTGTCCAAGACGTGTATGTGTGCTCAGTTGTATCTGATTCTTTGCGACCCAGAGGACTGTAGTCCGCCAGGCTCCTCTGTTAATGGAATTTTCCGGGCAAGAATACTGGAGTGGGTTGCTGTTTCCTACTCCAGAGCATCTTCCCGACTCAGGGATCGAACACTCGTCTCTTGTGTCTCCTGCGTTGGCTGGCAGATTCTTTCCTGCTGCGCCACCTGGAAAGCCCTTGCTCGAGATATCCCTTATGTCACTTTCTGGGTTATTTTTATTTAGATGTGTCCTCTATAAAAAATAGAGGGAGACCTCGGTTCGATCCCTGGGTTGGGAAGATCCTCTGGAGAAGGGAATGGCAACGCACTCCAGTATTCTTGCCTGGATAATTTCATGGACAGAGGAGCCTGGCAGGCTACAGTCCATAGGGTCGCAAAGAGTTGGACATGACTGAGCAACTTTCACTTTCTTTCACTTTCTATAAAAAATAATATGAATTTTTTTTAACCCAATATGAGGTGTTCTTTGTTTAAATTTAGAAAGCATTCTGAAGTCAGCTTAAACACATTACACACGCTGACCCACCCCCTTGGTGACATTTACATGGCAGGCTTTGCTGGGAAGACCCTCCTCACAGAACATGAGTAAAATGAAGAGTCAGCAATGCTCCCAACTGTCCGAAATTTCCAGTTAGCAGAAGCCACCTAGTAAGATTTCAGATCTTTACCAACTGATTCAATGAACACAACTAAGACAACTGCTTCTCTTACAGGGGCTGTGCCAGGGAAAAGGCTGAAAACTCCACCTCCCAAACCCAAATCCATCCCAAATTAAAAAAAAAAAAATTTTAAATGACACATTTAGTTTAGCCAAAACAAGATCAAAAGCCAAGGCATGGGTTGTGTCACATGAGCTATCAAAACATAAAGCACATGCTGTGTTTAAGCGACCGGAGGCCACACTCGGATTCTCTTCACCTTTTGGCAAGGTCAGCTGGCTCATCACTGGGATGCGAAGTCTGCTGACAGCAACATGGTCACACTGGTAAGTCACTCAACCACATGTAAACTGAAGCCCCTCCCATTTGTTAAGTGATTGATAGTACACTGGTTCTGTTTCTATTTAAATACATATACACTAAATCAGGCAGAAGAGACAGTTTTTCTGGTGGCAACAAGGTGGATGGATGCTTTTTCTGTTTATTATTTTTTGATAATCGACTTTACTGATTGAAGTATAATTTATGTACAATAAAATCCACTCATTTATGTGTGTGCTGCATGCTTAGTCGCTTCAGTCAATTCAATGAATTTTGACAAATGTATACACACAGTATACCCCAGCATCACCCCAAAAGCTCCCTCATTCCCCCCTGAAGTTTCACTCTTCTCTCCACTCCTCACTGGCCCCAGACAACTGTGATATGTTTTCTCTGCTGTAGTTTTATCTTCTTAGAATTTCATATAAATGGATCAAACACTATGTAACTTCTTTTATGTCTTTTGGCCCTTAATTAGCATGCTTCTGAAATTCATCCACGTTGATATGTGTTTCAGTAGTTATTTCCATTTATTGCTATAGTAACCCATGATTTGTTTATCCTACAATTTATTCATTCACCAGGGGAGGGGAATCTGGGTTGTTTTCTGGTAAGAACATTGGATCTCTACAGCAGCCTAAAGGTTTCAGTTATTGCGCATCTGTACTAGTGTTTGGCACTGTATTTTTTTATATTCTCCATTCTAACAGATATATAGTAGTAGCTCATTGTTGTTTTAATTTGCATTTCTTTAATGACTAACGATGTTAAGCATTTTTTCAGTGCTTATATATTTATGTATTTCCTTGGTGAAGTCTCTACTCAAATCGCTTGTTCACTTTAAACACTGTTATTCATATCCGTAATACTGAATTATAAAACCCCCTTATATATTTTGGATAGAGTCCTTTGTCAGGAAAATGTTTTTTCAATATTTTCTCCTAGTCTGTTACTTGCCTTTCCGTTTTTTTAACATGGTCTTTTGAATAGCAAAAGCCTGGAGTGGGTTGCCATTTCCTTCTCCTGGGGACCTTCCTGACCCAGGGATCAAATCTGTGTCTCCTGCTTGGCATTCTTTACCCCTCAGCCACCTGACAGCAAAGTCATTCTTTTTCAGATTCTTCCATTAAGGTTATTACAAGATATTGAATATAGTTCCCTAGGCAGCAAAGGTTTTAATTTTTGATAAAGCCCAATTTATGGTTCTGCCTTTGTGTCCCAAGAAATCTGTCCTCAGCCAAGGTCACAAAGATTTTCTGTATGTTCTAGAAATTTTACTGCTTTGGCTTTTATGTTCAGGTTTATGAACTATTTACAATTAACATCTTCATGCAGAATGAGGCAAAGGTTGAGGTTCAATTTTTTCTATATTGATATCCAGTTGTTCCAAAACCAATGATGGATAAGACTATCCTTTTCCTTCTAAATTACCTTTGGCATCTTTGTAAAAAAACACCCCAAGTGACCATATTTCTATGGGTGAGTCTATTTCTGAACTCTATTTTCTTCAGTTAAGCTCACACTCTCTTATATGTCGCTGTATAGTAACTCTAAAAGTCAGACAAGGTAGGTCTTCCAATGCTGTTCTTTTTCACAATGATTTTCACTCATCTTAGACCATTTTATGACCATATAAATTTTAGAATCAGCTTATCCATTTCTATAAGAAATTGGAAGGTGCTAAGATTTTGATATGGATTGAGTTGAATATATAGATTAATTTTGGAGAGATCTGACTTAATAATACCAATTTATTCAACCCATGTTGATGGCACACTGTTTCATTTATTGGGGTTTTCTCGAATTTCTCTCAGCAACATTTTGTAGTTTTCAGTGTATACTTCTTGTATTATTTTGTTACATTTATCCATGAAGGGTTTTTTGAGGTCATTATGAATGGCCTTTAAAATCCAATTTCAATTGTTCACTGCAACCTTGATAGATCTGCTTATTAGTTCCAATGGCTGTTCTTTGTGGTTTCCTTAGGACTTTCTATCTATACGATGATGCCATCTGTAAATAAAGACAGTTTTATTTTTCCTCTCTAATCTGTATGTCATGTAATTATTTTTCTTGCCTTACTGCACTGTCTAGAGCTTCAAGTACAATGCTGAATACAATTTGGTGAGCATAGCAGAAAGCGGTAGTTAACCTGCTGTCTCAAAAGTGGAGATTTAAAGTGTGACATTTAAAAATTCAATTTAGAAAGGAAGCACATGATCGAGTAGAAAAGCACTTACATCCTAAATGAAAAAGTATATACACACAAACAAGAACTCCCAAAACAAACCGACATTTTACATTCTTAAGACTTGATCTCTTTTAGGCTAAGTACCAATCTTCTTTTTTTTTCCCCATCCTCTATCTTGTATGTCCAAAATGAAAGATTCTGGTTCATGACACCTACCAGCATTTGCAACAAGCAGCAGGGGCAGTTTTCCTCGTTCTATGTCATCTTTAATCAGTTTCTCCAGGAAGGCAACATCCTGGGATTGAAAGACAAATCACAAAAACATGAGACAACCAGCATAAAAGCTATACAAGGAAAAATGATGACTTCTGAATGAAGCAGATACTCTCAAAATTGATCAAATCAGTTTTTCTCTTGACAATTTTCCTTTTCAATCCCTCTAATTATTGATGAGAAAACAAAATCATTTTACTTGAAGATTAACTAGAAAACTCAGTTAAATGAGATTAAAGTTAGAAACTACATACACAAAACCAACATTTCTCTACTTTAAAACATTTATGATTTAAAAAATTCTCTTAAACTAGCCTCCCTGCCACCACAAAAACAGTCAAAAATGCATCTCTAATGTCATGCCAACAAAGGCGCATCTAGTCAAAGCTATGGTTTTTCCAGTAGTCATGTATGGATGTGAGAGCTGGACCATGAAGAAAGCTAAGTGCCAAAGAATTGATGGTTTTGAACTGTGGTGTTGGAGAAGACTCTTGAGAGTCACTTGGACTGCAAGAAGATCAAACCAGTCAGTCCTAAAGGATATCAGTCCTTAATGTTCATTGGAAGGACTGATGCTGAAGCTCCAATACTTTGTCCACCTGATGTGAATCACTGGAAAAGACCCTGATGCTGGGAAAGATCGAAGGCAACAGGAGAAAGGGCTGACAGAGGATGAGATGGTTGGGTGGCACCACTGACTTGATGAACATGAGTTTGAGCAAGCTCCGGGAGTTGGTGATGGACAGGGAAGCCTGGCGTGCTGCAGTCCATGGGGTTGCAATACAAAGAGTCAGATACGACTACACCTGAGCGAATGAACTGAGCTGAATGTCTGTTATTCAATGATGTATCTAAATCAGAAAACCTAACTACCTTGAAAGAGAAATGCAGAATCCTAAAACCTATCCCTTCTGCTTCAGTATGTCTGAAAATAAGCAGAATCCAATCCCAAGGATTATGATAAACAACCTCACTTTCAAAATCTGCCCATTCATAAATCCAGGTAACAGTGATAAGCATTTGAAAGGGATGAGCTTTAGAAGGAATTTCTGGTGCTTAACTGAACTCCACGTTTCTACTTAAAGCAGGTGATACAGTGGTTATAAGACTCCTTATGAGCCAGGTGCTGCTCACCTTTATGCCAGTCAACATGTGCGGACATTCAAACCTGGAAGCATGTATTAAACAATGGGAAGATCTAAGCCACCCATGAATAATCTAATAACTATCTGGAGGCCAGTGAACAGAACCACAACTGAAAGGAAGATACAGTTTCAAAACACAATTCTTTCTTATTTTATGAACTTACCATCAGAGCGTATCTCTCTATTTTACCATTATAAACGTTACCATCAGAGCTTACCATCTGATGCTGGGATCCAAACACAGTGTTACAGGGCACCCGGCACAAGCAGGGGAAAGGCAAGCCAAGCTGCAGGAAGAAACGTGCAATTTCACAAGAAGGACCTTTGTCTCCATCCCCTCACATTCCCAGAGACTGTGCTTCTAAGTCACAGCATTCTTTTAAAACAATCCCTCCCTTAGGAACACTTAATATATAAACATATAGATGTTAAAGTATATCTAGAAAGTCAAGCCAAAGAAAAGAAAACAATTGCGGGGGGAGGTAAATTTCCAGGAGCTGTCTTTTAAGAGGATAAAGACAATGTAAAATTTTCTAAATGAGTCAACTAAATGAGTAACTATCAACTCATCTTCTAAATAAGTACCTAATCTTTGTTGTATTTTAGAATATGTCAAAAAAACTTTTCCAAATGGAGAAACAAGCTGAGCCTTTAGCGTTTTGGGGGGTAATTTAGGATCCTCCTTCCAAGGATCAGCGGTAAATAACACCTCCTAAAGGCATTCAAAGAACAACATGTATTTGTGGGCCCACCCATTCCTAAAAAGCAATAAATATGGACTAACAGATGTACACATCTCAAGAGAAATGAAGTCAGTGCTATGGAGATGGTAATTGTCAGATAAATTTTATATTCTTAATTTTTAGCTTCCAAATCCTTAAGGAGATTATGTTTCAGGAATTTTTAAACATTTGAGCATATTGCTCTATATAACTAAGGCCTGTAAGCATTTACAGACCAAAAATTTAACAAGCACTTTATTCACATTTTTTTCCTGTAAAGAATCTTCGTTCTAAATTATGAAAGTGAAACCCAAGTAAAACACACAATAAATAAATACAGAAATTAAAAATGAAAATGTTGTCCCATTCTCCCCACCCCGCAGACCCCTCAACTCAGCCACCAATCTGTCACTGTCGGGCTTTCCTGGTGGCTCAGGCGGGAAAGACTCCGCCTGCGATGCAGGAGATCCGGGTTCAGTCTCTGGGTTGGGATGGTCCCATGGAGAAGGGAATAGCTACCGACTCCAGCATTCTTGCCTGGGGCATCCCATGGATGGAGGAGCCTGGCCGGCTACAGTCCACAGTCACATGAGTTGTACGCGACTGAGCGACTAACATTACCCATTAACAGGTTAGTACAGAACTTTCCAGATATTTTATAGGCAAAAATGCAATGTATTTATATAAATATATTTTTCCAGGTATAAAAAAAAATATGCACATCAGCATGTACATCTTTTTAAAAACATGAACACCTGCCACCTGCCTTTCCCACTTAACATCCTCACACATCTTTTGAAGACTCGATTGCTCTCCCAAGACAGCTCTGAGACCTAAGAGCATGGCTCACAGCAGGTAATTTGTAAGTAATTTGTTTCATGTTTCTACAGAGGTATTATAAAATTCCTCATTTTGTATACCCTTAAGAAGAGGGCAGGATTTCTTTTTTTGATGTGAAAACGGGTAAAAATACTCTGTATTGACCTGATTTAGTCCATTTAGGTTAATATTTGTTGTTGCTGATTAGTCACCAAGTTGTGTCTAACTCTTTTTCAATCCCAGGGACTGTACCCCATCAGGCTCCTTTGTCGACGGGATTCTCCAGGCAAGAATACTGGAGTGGGTTGCCATGCCCTCCTCCAGAGAAGAAGAGGACACAATTTCTTGCCACCAGTGACCATGGCTCAGAATCAACTCAACTCCTGAGTTTGCCCTATGTATCTCCTGGGACTCGTCCATCTTACAGAAGACAATCCCTCCAATCCTATGGGTTTTGCTTTAAAATATTCTTGGCCAAGAGGCTTAACAAGTTCTTGACTCAAGGTAGCACCCCTAATCAAGCTTTCATAAATTCTAGAAAAGGATAATGCTCTTTGATCTTATAATTCCAGACTGACTCTGAAAATCCACCTGAGAAATATAACCCAAAGTATAGAAAAAGCTTGATGCACAAAGATGTCCATAACAGCACTGAACAAAAAGAATTTCCCAAAAATGGTCATAAAAAGCTAAAGAGTACAAACACTCTAATTGCCCAAAAAGGAAAAAAAAAAAAGTTAAAATACTATACACTCACTTGAAGGAATATCATGAAGCCATTAAAAATATAGTTTACTTTGAAGAACTGATAAAACATGATATGCACCTATTACAACAGTAAGTGAAAAAAGCCATGTATAGCCATGTAAAAACATACATGCCCTCTGACTGATCAAAGTCTGAAAATAAATAAAGTAAAATGTTGACTATGGCTGCCTTTGGGCAACTAAAAAATACATATATCTCTCTCTAAACTTATTAATACACATTCATATATAAAAATGACATAACACACACAGAAGAAAATCATTTTTCTTTTCACGTGAAAAAAAAGTGGCTAAAGAAATGGGTCAACACACCTGAAAAACTCTAAGGACAGAACAAAGCATCGTTTCTTGAAACGATCGCCCTTATGCCACATTACCTGATTACAGAGGTACTGGCCCAGGCCAGGCCTAGCAGCAGCACTTAGATAGATCACAGGCTTCCTGTTATATAACACGTTGAACCCATCCACTACGAAGTCTTCGTAACGGGAATGGATGGCAAGCCTACAGATCTTTGCGAGTCCTTCTCTTTCTTCTTCGTGGAAATAAGCACAGCCATTTTCATACCTGTTAAGAGACACTCATATGTCAGTATGTTCTTACCTCTGATTTTGTAAGTCCCAGTCTTATAACCATGGAAGTAAATCTTTTCTCAACCTAGAAACTGTCACCCAGACCAGTCAAAGGAGATAGGAATCACCCTCATCTCAGATGGCTGACAACTCACGGCAGCCGGAGGTTATAAAGAACAGAGGCAATGGCCCTTCCTCCACACTGAGCTCCAGGAACAGTAGGAACTAGGGAAAACCAGTAGGAAACAGGAATGCCTCAGGTACAAAAAGGCGGAAGGTCATGGATCGGCTTACTTCACCAGGAAGTCGGCACTGGATAATGTAGGCATGGTTTTTAGTAGTGTCAGCCCTAAAACATCCAAAGTAAGTAAAACTGTCAATAATGCTAGTCAGGCTGTTTTGCTTTCACTATTATCTGCTTGGAACCTTTTATTCTTCTCCAACTCAAAAGAGAAAGAGAATTTCAATTACAGGTGTTGGATTTTTATTAAAATTAAAAGAATTAAAAACATTAAAAGAAAGAAAATTTCTCCTTTGCCACATAGGCAAACTCATACTTTTGCCAGGCCAAGCTCTTTTCCACCATCTGAAAATTAGTCTCCCAAGTTATTAAACGTTCCAACGTTAGGTAAACATTCCTTTTCCATAAAAGTAACAGCATAAATAAACACAAAATACCACTGGTCTTGTATCTTCTACTGACTCCTTACTTTGCTAGAATTCCTTAATAATGACAGTATTTATCACTGTATAAAGCAAATCAATTTCACAACACATACTCATCTTCCTTATAACAGCATTTCCTTTCTACTAAAACACAGCTAATACTTTAAATAAAAACACTCAAATCCAGGGACTTCCCTGGTGGTCCAGTAGTTAAGACTGGGGGCATGGGTTCAATCCCTGCTCGAGGAACTAAGATCCACCATGCCACACAGCATGGCAAAACAAAGAGAAAAACTTGTCTCCATTTCACTGCTACATCTTCTATCAACATGTGCCAACTAGGAATCTTCTTTTTCTTATTTTTATTTTTTTAAAATCATGGAAGTATGATAACACATTTATAGGAGACTTAGAAAATACAGAGTAAGGTTACACAGAGTTCTACTATATATAGTAACAAATAAGAAACTGTGGACATTATTCAACAGTACAGGCTCATGTTCTTAGCCCTTCACACATATTAATTCATTGGTTCATTTAATCCTCACAACAATGTCATCAAGCGGATATTAAGGCTATCTCCATTGCACAGATAAGGAAACTGAGGCATGGAGTGGTTGAGTAATTCTTCCAAAAGGAAAGGGAAGAGGCAGATCTGATTCTAGGCAGCACAGCTCCAGAAGACAGACTTCTCACAGTGCATATCCAACTCATAAATGCCTTTACCGGAAACTAAAAACTTATTACCTGAAAATTCTGCAGAGCCATAAGGTAGTGTCTGAAAGTATCCTAGTAGTAAGTTTTCTTAGCTTCTCTTTATCCAGAGTTGAAATGTAAGCTCCCAGACTATGCCCCAACAAAGATATATGACCTTGTTCTCCAATATTCTGAATTCTGTTAATCAAAATATATTAGATTTTAAAAAAAAGTATTAGTCTAAGCATAAATAAATAAAACTTAGAGACACAGTATTCCATAAAAATTTCTGTCACATCTGAAATGCACTTAATGGCCTAGAAGGCAGAAATTGAGATAAATTTAGAAAATTCAATGTGTAATAGGGAGAAATTTTCTTTCTGAATTCAAGTCCTAGGAGATAAATATCCTTTTTATTGAATACCAACTAACTACACAAACTGTTTTTAAATAATTTTCTCCAAAAAAGTTTCTTAAATACTAGCTGTAAGAATTATGGAGAGTAGAGCTGAGATAAAATGTGCAGAAAACAATTTAAGAATCAATAGATGAAGATAAATTCCCTGCATTAAATAGCTATTTACAACAATTCACCAAATTCAAGGGGAACTAGGTATTGTTTTGCATATAATTAAAGTGGATGGACTAATTTCCCTTATAAAGAATAAATGTAATAATGAAAATGACAAAAAAATCAACAGGATTCTGGGCAGAGACAGTTCATAGAAAAGGAAATATAAATGGGTCTTAAAACATAGAAAAAAGACACTTAATCTGATTCTTAAGAAAAATGCAAACTAAAGCTATGCTAAAATATCATTTCTTACCTATCAGACTGGCAACAATCCTTAAGTTTGCTAATACCCTTGTAGGCAAAGGTGTGGGAGGAAAACTCACACACACACAGAATGGGAATGTGAATGGGCACAATTCCATGAAGGGAAATGTGGCAATATCTGTCAAATTTACAAACTTATTTGGTCTAGCAATCCCACTTCTAGGACTTTTATCTCCAGAAACACTACTTTGAGGAAATGACACATGTGCAAAGTTACCAGCTGCAGGAATGTTTGTAAGAGTAAAACATGAATCGGAGACTAGTTAAATAAAATATATCTCACCCACTGAGTAACACTGTGTACATGTTCAGTCGTGTCCGACTCTTTGCAACCCCAAGGACCGTAGCCCACCAGGCTCCTCTGTCCATGGGGTTTTCCAGGCAAGAATACTGGAGTAGGTTGCCACTTTCTCCTCAAGGGGGTCTTCCCGACCCAGGGGTCAAACCCAGGTATCCTGCACTGCAGGTGGAGTCTTTACTGCTGAACTATCAGGGGAGCCCCAGAGCAACATTAAACAGCTCTTAAAGGAGAAAGCTCCTTGTGGACTGCTATTCCAGGAACTTCAAGACATTAATGAAAAAAGCAAGACACAGAACAACGTGCAGAGTATTTTGGTGCTGGAAGCAGTAAGCACAGACATCTGGCTTGGGTGTACGTGTACATGAAGTATCTCTGAAGAATACACAAGAAACTAGCAACTTATCTCTAGCAAGGAGAACAAGCTAGGGAGGGAGAGTTAAGAAGGAATACTGCCTTTGCATATATACCTTTTCTATCTTTTGAAATCTGAACCCGAAGAATGCATTACTTATTCTAAAAAACATTGTATTTAAAACAATTAAAGAGAAAATAGAACTAGATAAATTGCTTGATAGATGCATAAATGGAAATAAGATAAACAGATGATTCACAGATGGCGTGTCCTGCCACCGATGAATCCAGCTGCAGCGCTTCTCAACAATCAAAAGCCCAGGAACAGGAGCAGCCAGAAATGGAGAAGCACACAGCAGCTACCCTCTGGCCCCTGCGCCAGCCCCTCCCTAAGACACAAGACCATAAAAATCACAAGGTTTTAGTTTTAGTAAATGATTTCCTTTTACAAAATACATTATCTAAAACATGTCAACGTCTCCCTGAAGGAAGTGAATGTTGTTGTAACTTCATATATAATCTGGAATGAAAAAAGGCTTATTGTTGTAGCAACCTGTATGAATGTAATCATCATCAAAATCAAGAACACATATACTTTCAAAGAGAAGCTGCCAGCCGTTCTCCATTACCGGGTGCTCTGGGGCTCCTCGTCTTCATCTCCGTGCATCAGATTCTGAACTAACTGGAGGATGCTCACCATGTCTTGTCCACTGCGGAACAGAAAAACAGTTGACAGACAGGGGGAAACAGCACATGCCACCCCCTCCCCTCACCACCAGTCTCTCACTATTTCTCTTGTCTAAACTAGCTTTGATATCTTGTTACAACAGAAATAATGTTTTTTGAGATACAGTATACACCATCTTGTTTTTTTAAAATAAACCTTATCAACTGAATTCTGAATATAACCATATGTACATTAAAGTATTAGTTGCAGTGCTCGCTGCGGCAGCACATATACTAAAGTATTAGCTGCTTAGTTGTGTCCAACTCTTTGCGACCCCATGGACTGTAGCTCTCCAGGCTCCTCTGTCCATGGAATTCTCCAGGCAGGAATACTGGAGTGGGTAGCCATTCCCTTCTCCAGGAGATCTTCCCAACCCCGGGATTGAACCTGGGTCTACTGCATTGAGGCAGATTTTTGATCATCTAAGCCACCACGGAAGCCCCTTACTTGTGGTTCATTAAATCTTCTACCTGAATGTAAATTTGATTTTTAAAAATTTCACTAGCTTTAGCAGTATTTCTCTACCAGTTCATTTGAGTCTTGGACACTGCCTAGTAAGCATGTTATAAGGGCAAAAATAGTTTATAAGCTGCTGGAAAATCACAAAAGCAGCAAGAGTACTCCAGTACCACTGGTGTATCTAAGTTCCCTCCATGCGGGATTCTTGTCTGTTTGTTCTAATAGAGTTAAACATGAAATGCAGGCATCGCTTATTACCACCTCTTCCCCAAACTGGAGAAACTGGAGATTTCCTTGGACTATAAACAGACTTACTTCTGTCCAAGATACGTTTTTAAATGCTCATTACATGAGGAGGTGGAAACATGAGAAGAATGTGAGTGGTGCAGTTGTTAGCAATGGCAAGGTGACTTACAAAACATGTGATGTCAAAATGCTACCACTCTATTAATGAGGTGACATAAAAAGTTCTCCCTTTTGAAAAACAATGTCCCCATACCATCTTCCTCACAGTTCTGACCTTCACATGAGAGACTCTGGTCCTTAGACTGTATGTAGAGATGAGGCCAGGTGACCTTCAGGAAACCCTACGTCACAAACTACGAGGACGCCATTCGTTCATGAAAAGCACTGAGCTCTGCGCCTGGGAAGTGGGCTCTCGGGTGTGGCTATTAACATTATTAGTGTGAACACCCTGGACTTGTGTCATTAATGCACTCCCACTCTGAGAATCAGATGTTTCTGGCAGTATCTCTTCTACAGAAACTTCTGCAAGATGAGTAGAATGCTACAATTCCCTTCAGAGGGCCCAGAATGAGGAGACTTATAAGACCTGGTTCCTGTTCTCAGCTGGAAAATGAACTTCACCCATTGAGGACTTCCAATCAGTATCCTCCATCCACTGGGATCCTTCCTCTGTTCTTTTGCAACCTTGTACATTTTTATATTCGGGTCAAAGGACAACTTAAGGAGTTGTACTGTTTACCTATGTACAGTTTCCTGGTTATAAAAAAAAATAATAAGTTTGTCCAAAGGAAACTGGGCCAGGACTTAAACTCCAAATTAAGTGCTAACATCCTGTAAATACTGTTGGTTGGATAACTACTTATTTTCCTGATATTTCCCCTGCCACTTCAAACCACAAACATGTGACAGATTTCCTTTAGTTACCAAAAAATAAATCACTCTACTAATAAATGAGCTGATATTTTCCTTTCATTTTCCTTTCCTTACTATATAATACAGTGGTAAATTTTATCAAGTTAAAACAACTCTCACAATAAAGCTCAGTCTACCAAATAGATTGCTGTTTTCAAGGATGAAACAAGTATGATAGTTGAGTTATATTGTGAGTCTGAATATGCTTCTAAGAGGTTGTGTTAAACTCTGAATGGGGAAGGGGGAGAAACAGTAGGTATAGCATCATCACCAACCAGCCAACAGCATTTCAGTTTTCTGATGACACATTGCATAGAACTCTCAATTTGCTTTGTGTTCATTAGAATTGTAAATCAGTGACGGTAAAATCTTGGTTTAAAGAAAATGTACACCCCACGTGAAGGTCCTTGTCTTTTTTTTTTTTTAACTTTTCATTTAATGCTGGAGTACAGCTGATTAACAAGGTTGTGATAACTTCAGGTGGACAGCAAAAGGGCTCAGCCACACACACACATGTATCCATTCTGCCCAAACTCCCCTCCCGAAACACTGAGCTGAGGTCCCCGTGCCAAACAGCGGGAAAAGCGCTTCTCTCCCTTGCCACCTACCTGCCTTGCAGTGGCCCTGGAATATCCCCTGACAGGAGCTTCTTTCCATTTTCCTCCTCTGTTCTTCTAGTTTGAGGGAAATAAAAAATTGTTATATTTCTAACACTGGAGCATGAACATGTGATAATGCTGCTCATAAGCTCTAGTAACTGATGTGGGATTTGAAACACACATTTCCCCACCCCCACCCCATCCCAGCCCCCCCAGGCTGGGGTATAGTTTAATTTCAGGAAAAGAATACTAAAAAAAAAAATACTTCAACCCATTTCTTGTTTATTTGATGTACCGTATGACCTGAATATACAGTAAGAAGTATTTATAGAGTCAAGTTAATATATTAAGTAAATTTTTAATAGACAGAACTGAAAATTATAAGTCCTGCCCCTCAATTTCAAAATCCTTTAATGATAAAGCACCTTCCACTCAAGACAAACACCAATTTTAAAGTCAGCTGCAGCTAAGCATGACGTTCTGAAAGCAAGAGGCGTCTTTAACAGCAGGAAACCAGTGCTACCAGTTTCGCAGCAGGCTGAACATGTTTAATGGGGTCACATCTGTTCCGCAGGCTCACCTCTGACTGTCCTCGAGCATCTTCATGGCCTCCTTCAAGTTTTTTCCCATTTCAGCTAGAGTAGGGTCTGCTATCTGGAAAAAAATTTTTCAAAAGGTTAAATGTTAACAACCTTCTATTACTTCCACAAGAGTTCATCAAGAAAAAAACTATAAGTCCATTTTCTTCTGGACTTATTATAATATACTTGGGTTATTAAGCACATGCTTGATTTCAAAATTCCAACAGTACAAGGTGTAACACGAAAAAGTCCCACTCCCCCGGGAGGCCACTTTTGACATCCCTGTCTCCAAGACTCCCTTTACTCATGTGCACTTCTCCACATTGCTTTTTTCCTGTTTTACAGTGAATACGGTTCCACATCAGTGGGTCCACTTCATTCTCCTTAGCGGTTATACCTTTTTGCATCTGAGGGATGTATTATAGTTTATTTAACAGTCCTGAATTAATGGACCTTTTAGGTTACTTGAGTTTTTCACTGTTAGAAGAAGGTCCAGAAAAGTTCGACTAGCACACTATTTGTTTCACAGCTGTAGCAGGCTGAAAGATGGGGCTTCCCTGGTGGACCAGTGCTAACAATCTGCTTGCAATGCAGGAGATGCGGGTTCGATCCCTGGGTTGGGAAGATCCCCTGGAGAAGGAAATGGCAACCCACGCCAGTGTTCTTGCCTGGGAAATCCCATGGACAGAGGAGCCTGGAGGGCTATAGTCCATGGGGTTGCAAAGAGTCGGATACTGCTTAGCGACTAAACCACCACCACTGAGCTGAAAACTAGCCCCCCAAAAGATGTTCATATCCTAATCCCTAGAACTTGTGAATGTGTGTCCCTTACGTGACAATGTCTGCGCAGATGTGATTAAACTATGGGATCATCCAGGTGAGCCCTAAGTGCAACAGCATGAACCAAAAGGACAGAACGGGAAGGAGACCACACATGACCACAGAGAGCAGGTGACGTGTGGACAGAGCAGAGGGAGGTTTGAAGATGCTGCCCTTAAAACTGGAGTGATGGGACCCCCAATAAAGGCAGGGTGGCTGGCAAGCAACATAAGCTGGAACAAGAAAGCAAGGGGCATACCTCTGGAGGGAGTGTGCCCTGCCATCCCTTGATTTTAGTTCAACGACAATGATTTCAAACTTCTGGCCTCCAGAACTGAGAGAGAATATATTTCTGTTGTTCTGAGCTACCCAGTTTGTGCTAACAGGTTACAGCAATCACATGAAACTCCTACAGTCAAGAATTTGCAAGTGCTTCTAAAACCTCCGGACACTTACCCAAACTGGTAATAGTGACATCTCCAAAGAATCAGAGGGAGTCTTTATCATTCATGTCCTTTTGGATTTTAGTCCCAAGTGTACATCTACCTCCCATTCAAAACATAGACGGAACTAAATTTTTTAAATTCTCGCAGAAATAAAACATTCACTCTTTCTTAACATTTCTATAACAATTTTTAGGGAGACAGCCTTGTTGCCTTGAATCTCTATGTAGTATGAGTTGAGTTATAAACAATTATAGAAGCTCTCTTTTGTTCTCCTCTTAATCAAGTGTACTTCAAGTGCATTTATCTGCATTTTCTTCCTATTGTCTACTGTACCTAGTAATAGTTTATCTTATGTAGATGTACAATGAGTATTACCCTTAGTATTGCATTACCTCCTCAAAATTGTGTTCTTTTTCTTAAAAAAATTCTACTGTTTACCAGTGTGAGAATACTGGAGTGGGTAGTCATTCCCTTCTCCAGGGGGTTTTCCCCATCTACGGATCAAACGTGCATCTCCCACACTGCAGGCGGATTCCTTACCGTCTGAGGCACCAGGGAAGCCCCAGTGTAAGTATCAGAAAATGTCAAATCAAGAAGGGACCTTAGGGGTCTAATCTAGGAATTGCCAATCTGTGTTCTTTTGAGCCTTAAGACTCTTGGGAAGAACTTTAGGGAGAAGGGGCTTAGCAGCCACCTGGAGCTTCCAGCTCTGCTCCCCTTTAAGGAGATCAGCTCTGTTTTTAACAACAGGGTTTTCAGTCAAGTTTCCAAAAAAGGAAAAGTATAGCATGAAAGCCTCTGTTTCCAGTCTAACATTTTAATTATTTACAAAACTCACTTATTTTTGCCCGCACTGCACGGCAAGTGGGATCTTAGTTCCCCAACCAAGGATGGAACCAGTGCCCACTGCAGTGGAAGTACAGAGTCCTAACTACTGGACCGCCAGGCCAGGGACATCCTGGTGTCACATTTCAGAGAGGAAACTAAGACTTAGAGAAAGACAGTGACTTGCCTAGGCTCATGGAACTAATAAAAGACGGAGAGCTGCCAGAATCCTGGTTTCCTGATCTGTTTCTGCCTCTATTACATCACATTGATTCTACAAGAGGTTAGAAAAGAATCACGTAGCCACATCTGACCTGATTTTTCACAAAAGATAGAAAAATCACTTAAAAAACAACAGGCGTTTCCAATAAAAATCACAATTTAAATATAACCACAAGGTGGGTGAGAGAGCAATCTAAAAGGTCTCTTTGTTCTTCCTTAACAATTCTGAGTGGACGAGGAACAAGATAATGGTCAAGAGAAGTGATCTTGCTCCCCGGTCTGCTGGTCAAGGTCCTTACACCCACACCTCCTGTGACACTCCAACCTCTGAGCATCTGGCCAAATGCAAAGACAAACAGTTTGCTTGATCAGTTACTCTTCCCTGTTTCATACTTATAACATCTGTGCCGTCTGAAACGTCCCTGTGCCTTTTATCTACTGCTGACCACCTATTAAATCAGGATCCACCACTTTCAAGAAACCCTTATGGATAAAATCACTTTCACTTTTTCACATCCCCTCTAATGATGTCGATACCATTTTTTCCTAAATCAAACATCTGGACTCACTGCCTGCAAACGGCTGTACTAACATTTATGGGGACGGCAGGACGGAAGGCTTGAGCCTGGGGCCGTCCTAACATGTACCTGCCCAATCTCTCACACCCCTCACTGGGAGCTGTGCTATAGGTGGTCTGCCCAGGACAGGTGTTCTCCCCAGCAAGATCATGTGCTTCTTGAAGGCAGCTACTCAGACTCCCACTGATTTTGCCTTCTCTTATAGGCCTAAAGGGCTTCCCTGGTGGCTCACTGGTAAAGAATCTGTCTGCAAGGCAGGAGATGCAGATTTTATCCCAGGGTGAGGAAGATCCCGTGGAGAAGGAAATGGCAACCCACTCCAGTATCCTTGCCTGGAGAATCTCATGGACAAAGGAGCCTGGAGGGCTAAAGTCCATGAGGTTGCAAGAGTCAGACACAACTCAGCAGCTAAACAACAACAGGCCTAAAATGTCTAAAGTCAGCCTGAGTCTTGGATTGCCATATTGCCTCTGAAACCCTTCAGGAAGGCACAGCATATTGGATATCAACATATTGGCTCTAAGTTCAACACAGCTAACTTTTCCTATAAGATTGAACAGATTTTTCAGTTAAGAATAGACAAAGTAGTTGACTTAAGAAGCTGCTTCATATGATAATACTTATTTTTAAACATCAGAATCACATGTGATGACAAGACGCTGACACTGAAAGAGGCAGGAGGGAAGTGCAGCTTCATACTTCCCCATCTGAGTCTCTCTCTCTCTCAAGAGCACACATTCATTGAGTGGAAAGGCTGACATTTAAATCGTTCTTGCTCCTACTCTCTTTTAGGGAGTGAAATGGGGGCAGGGGGTGGGGTAGTGGATGGGTAAGGAAAATAGCACGTTTAGTTAAATGTGAATAGAATTCGACTCCAATGCTATAGACCCGCATGGGCTTGTTCTGTTAACAGGATAATCCAAAATATAAAACATTACCCAGCTGCAGGATACCAGGCCTTAAGTCAAAGAATGCTCTAAGAAAAATATTTATCAGCTGGTTACTTAAAACTAAAAGCCAAGCCTCCATACACTTCTGCTGAGGGCAGTGACTATTTCTCCTTCACACTCCCCAACCTCAACCCTGTTACAGGGCCAGAGGACGCGTGTGATTAAGCGTTAACAGTAGCAGGGCAACAGCTAGACACAAACCAAAATGAGCGAAGAATTAAGTTGAATAAAGATGCCCATCATTCAGTATTTAGAAGAAGACTCTTTTACACTATTCAGGGAAGAAAAAACTAATATTCTATGCCAGGTTCCCGGGGAAAATGTCGTATTTTTCAACCCTTAGCACCTAATACAGGGGCCGGCACAGAAAAAGGACTCAATGAGATTTGTGATCCTTAATTTACTCAAATGCTCTCTATACTCTAGGCATCATCTAATTAACACCTTTATACACATTGTTGTTGTTTATTCGCTAAGTCAGTTTGACTCTTTGTGACCCTATGAACTGCAGCACATCAGGCTTTTGTGTACTTCACTATCTCCCAGAGTTTGCTCAAACTCATGTCCATTGAGTCGGTGATGTCATTCAACCATCTCATCCTCTGTCATCCCCTTCTCCTCCTGCCTTCAATCTTTCCCAGCATCAGGGTCTTATCCAATGAGTCGGCTCTTTACATCAGGTGGCCAAATTATTGGAGCTTCAGCATCAGTCCTTCCAATGAATATACAGAGTTGATTTCCTTTTGGATGGACTGGTTTGACCTCCTTGAGAGGGACTCTCAAGAGTCTTCTCCAGTACTACAGTTCAGAAGCGTCAGTTCTTCAGCACTCAGTCTTTATGGCCCACATATGGTCCTGACATCCATATACGACTACTCGGAAAACCATTTATCATTGACTGTACGGACCTGCATTAGCAAAGGGATGTCTCTGCTTTTCAATATGCTGTCTAGGTTTGTCATAGCTTTCCTTCCAAGGAGCAAGCATCTTTTAATTTCATGGCTGAAGTTACCATATGCAGTGATTTGGGAGCCCAAGAAATTAAAATCTGCCACTGCTTCCACTTTTTCTCCATCGACTTGCCATGAAGTGATTACATACATTACTTACTAGCAAACTCAAAGGCACAGAGTTAGTAGGCTTCAGAGCCAGAATTTAAAACAAGGTCTGGGGATTTCCCTGGCAGTCTAGTGGTTAAGACTCCAAGCTTCCAATGCAGGAGGTGCAGATTTG